ACAAAACTACAAAATAATAGAATTAATCTAGCCATGTCATTAACCTTTTCTAACCTGTGTACTTACAAATAATGCTTACATTTTACACTTTCTGAGTTTCAAAACTATCCAACTGCAAATATAATGTTTGAAGTTTCCATGGGCAACAAAAAACTAAACGTTCCATGTCCAAAGTTACTTTTTCTTAAACCGCAGTGATGAACAAGACAACAGCAATGTTCCTTGTTCAGTAGTGGAAAAGGAAAACATATTTAATTACTAAATTTAAGACTGCATAGCCATTTCTTGTCTGTTTTCACAGGTGAATTTCATAGCTCCTTCTTACCTGATTTGTGTTTCAAATTTGTGGTCACCCCATCAAATTCAGATTTATCAATTTCCCATGCAAGAGGTAGCTTGCCCAAGCTGGCAGATAAGTTTTCTAAGTTATTTTCTTCATTGTAGATTATTTCTGAAGCATTAGTTGGGATACCAATGTATCTTGATGAATTATTTCCAGCAGACAGTGAGGTACTGTCGGGGAGGCAAGGAGAGCGGGCTGGGTTTGGAGTTTTATAGATTGAGGTTGCCTGGTTGAGGAAGGCATAGTCTGAACAGATGGCATAAATTTTTTCCCGAGTATGTGTTACTGGACAACTCCATGGATAATGACTGTCTCTTTTAGGACCCAAAGGTGCTCCTGAGGCACTTGGGCAGAAAGATTGTACAGCACCTTGTAGACTCTCTTCTGGGTACCTGCTCTCAGATTTGTGCTCACCATGTCCAGGATCATTGGATCTTCCGGCTTCTGCAACGTTAGGCATTGAAACCAACTGGAGAAGTCTCTGTTCCCAGGAAGAAGCCACAACCCTTTCTCCCTCTTGAAAAACAACTCTGACAGTTGTTCACAGCATTCTTTGAAAGCTTGAGAGTTGACAAATGGAATCCTAAGAAGAGAAAGAGGAGAATGAGAGATCATCAATTCATCAGACACTCTGAATGGCACTAAACTATTTCAAGTACAATTTATATGCCTGCATTCAATGCATATTGATTTTATGACTGTATATCCTGAGTTAAAACCACTTACCATCTATCTTATTTTAAAATTTAGATTAGGAGCTGGGAGTATGGCTTACTTGGTAAGATGCTTGCCATACAAATATGACAACCTAGTATGATCTACAGCACCCACATAAAAATAGCTTGGTGTAGTGGCACATACCTATAGTCCCAGTGCTGGGGAGGAAGAGACAGGAGGACCCCTGGGCCTTACTGGTCAACTAGTCTAACCAAATCAGTGAGCTTAGGGTACAGTGAGAGGCCATGTTCCAAAAAATAAGATGGAGAGTAACTGAGAACGACATCCAGTGTCAACTTCTGACCTCCACATGCATGCACATACACACATAAATAGTTTAAAATAAAAAATGAGAACATAACACAATTTAAAAGGGGGAAAGTGTCTGCAAAGTCATATCTCTAAAGACAATAAATAAATGACCGATGAGCAAATGAAATTATGGTCGGCATCATCATTTGCTATGGAAATAAAAAGTAAAACCACAACTAGATACCAACTCACATACACACACACCAGGGCGGCTGCAATTAAAAAAAAAAACAAAAACACAGGCAATAGTGAGTGTTGGCAAGAGTGTGGAAAAATTAGAGCCTTCAAGTACTGCTAATAGAAATATAAAAAGGTCCTGCTGGTTTACAAAACAGTTCTTCAGATATTTAAATAGTTACCACGTGGCCTAGAAATTGTACTCCTAGATAGATAGAAAAGAAATCCAAATATACCTGCACCTTAATAGCAGAATTACTCATAATAGCCCCAAAGTGGAAACAACCCAAAGTGCTATCAACTGATGAATGGATAAAACTGTTTCAAATTTGGGGTCACCCCATCAAATTCAGATGAAATATTACTATCATCCATTTGGTGAAATATTACTTGGCAATAAAAAGAATTACTGATCCATGATACAACATAAATGAACTTTGGGAAATTATGCTGATGAAAAGAATAAGTCATAGAGGTACAGATTCCACAGGAGTCCAATTACATAAAATATCCAGAAGAGGCAAATCTACAAAGGAAACTACATCTTAGCACTTGCCAAGGGCTGAAGGATTGGGCATGAGGAGGGGTTTTCCTTTGGAATAATGAAAATATTCCATAACGAAAAGTATAATATAGTAATGGTAAAAGCCCAACTTAGGAATATACTAAAAATTCATTGAAGTGCACATTGTAAGGCATGTGAATTGATAGATAGATGATGATGATAGATAGATAGATAGATAGATAGATAGATAGATAGATAGATAGATAGATAGATAGATAGATGATAGAGAGATAGATGATAGAGAGATAGATAGATAGATAGATAGATAGATAGATAGATAGATAGACAGATCAATCAGTAACACTGCCTAAAGTAGTGCATTAACAAGATCATGTTAAAAGTATGTAGGGATAAAAAGACACATGGAGAGAATGGTCATATTTAAATCAACAAACAAACTTTTAAAATTAAAAGCTGCTGTCACTAACTTCTGATCAATCTTGGAGAAAACTGGATTTCAAGTCTAACCTGATTCCTTTGATAAAGAAAATGGTAAAGAAAGTTCAAATAGCCACTGAGGGCATTCACAGAAGCAGATTCACAAAGAAAGTCCTTAAAGCAGCACACTGTCACAGGTAGCCCTATACAGGTGCCAGACAGAGCAAGATAGTTCTCTCTGGGCTCTGGTGACCAAGCAGTGCCTAAGAGATTCAACCCACCATAAGGGACCAGTTTGGCTTTTAACAATTAGTGTATCATCCCATTTGTTTACTTTAAACATTAGAAATGAAAATAACTAACATGGGTTATAATTTTCTCATGGCTACCATGCAAGTATGGCAGAAGCCCATGACCAAGTCTCAGAAATAAAGGGAATGATCTATACAGAGCCTCCCACATCTGAATGATAGAAAATGGAAAGGTCCCACATATCCTTGACAAAATTTAAGGAAACAGACTCCACAGAAGGATTTCACTTTCTTTTTGATAAATCTTACTGTGTCTTCAGATACTGTTTGAGCTTCCTCCTCTTTCTTCATTCTGTGGTGTGATGCTGATGGTGGCAGAAGATGCAAAGGGAAGCACAGAGCATGAGGTTTGCAGACCAAATTAACTGGTCTTCTTTGAGGACTGGGTTACTCCCATTTTTAGATGCCTTAGAATACATTTCCTACTTCTATCTATGAGGCTCATGCCTTTCTTTAAAGGCCATTGTGGTGGAGGGGTACACATGTGTCTGTGGCTGGAAGTAGGAGGAAAAGACAACAGATGGTCAGCTGGGGCAGCAGGCAGAGGTTACTGATTCAGCGCATCACAGATGCCCCAAGCACTGGCGTTTGTCCATCACCACCTCATGTTCAGTTCCACTTTGCATTGATACCTTCAAGTTGAATGAAATTTTGACTGTGGAACCAGCTCTGTTTCTCATAAATTTATTTTCATTTGGAATATATACAATGTTCTGGTCAAGAACATAGGCAAGGAGGAACATGGTGGCCCAAGTCTGTAATCCCAGTATTCAAGAGGCAGAAACAAGGTTGAGGCTAGTCTGTCTGTACTACATGGCTAGTTCAAGTCACCCAGGAATACATTGTAACCAAAAATATATAGCAAGCAGACCCTGTTTAAAAAAAAAAAAAAACCTAAACAAATAAAAATAAGCAAAGAGAAACACTGCACTTAAAACAAAAGTTACAACTGAGCTTGCTGGGAGCCAAAGCTGATGAAGAACACAGTACTTGATTAATAAAACATGAAACTCTGGTTTTGTCTGGTGGGGGGCGGGGTTGCTTGCTTTTAGCAATGGTCACTGAACAAGAGTAATCTCTTTGGTTGCAGTTTTACCTTTAAAAAAGATATATTTTATACTGATTGTCACTAAAAACAAAAGGTGTCAAAAATTCTTCAAATGAACCACTATTTATGTAGATTTATATCTTTGAAAATGTGTATAATATTTATAGGTTTAATTACCTAAGTAAAATATATTGCAGAAAAAAATTACAAAATGTTAAAAGATATTTCACAGAAAATGAAAAGGATCCAAAATCTGTGCTAGGGTTTCTTTTCTTTCCACACCATGTCTGATTCCTGTCTACTCGCCCTCTGTAGTTAAAAGCAAGCCCAAGGGGCTTCTGCAATGGTGTCCTCAGGACTTCCACCAGCTTTCTTAAAAGGAAGGAAGGGCAATTTATTACAGAAAAACAAGAATCATTAGAGTCACAGATAGTTGATAGGTTGTAATCATAGCCTAGGGGAAAACCTAACGTATGAAGGTGTGATTACCCCACCTCTGAGCCTGCTTTGCATCTCCTTTTGTCTCTATGTTAATAACTCCAGGTCACCCACCATTAGGGGTTGTCATTTCTAGTTGGATAGGTACATAGCTAACAGAAAGTTAAGTTTCACATATATGTGTATGTGAGCGTATGTGCACAAACACATACACTCATAAAATTTCCCTGCCTAAAGCTCAGCTCTTAGAACAAACAGCTAATTCCTTACCTGGCCCCAAATCATTAGCTCTGTCTAACTCCATGTATCATTCCCTCTCCTTCCACAATATTTTTTGCTTCTCTGAATGTCTTCCAGCCCACCTTCCTACTAATTCTTTCTTATCCATCTGTCAAAGATACATTCAAATGCCACTTTCTGGAGATGCTTTCTTGCTGCTCAAGTTAGATCAGCTTATCTTGTATATACTAGGGAGGCTTTCTTGCACAAGTCTTTTTGAGTGTGATTTTACATTTACATATGGTGTATGACAAATGGCTGCCTCCTCAAAGTCTGATTTTCCTGACAATTGTATACCCAGGGCCTAGCATTTATCCAACAAATACTCAGGTGCCTACACTGTGCCAGGCACTATTGTAATGGTCCCCCTCATTTGATTAACTGAGGTTCCCTCATGCAGGTGAGGCATTACTATATTGACTTCATAATGAAAATGACTGCAGAAATAAAGCTCAGTTCAACACTTTATTCACAGAATCTGACAAGCAACAGAAGCATTAACTGCCATGAAACCCAAGCTCTCAGCGCACCTCTAGAAGTAACTGGTGAAAGTCACTGTAAAGAACCGTTCTGTAAAATAAATATACCATTTGTAAAGACAATAGTCATGGCCTAGGTTACATTATCTTCGGGTTATATTTTAAGTCTTTATGCCTAAGGATCAAGTTTGTTGGAGAACTAGACATTTTATAAAATCTCACTGAAGCCTTCCCCATAGCACAAGTATTATAAGCAATAGTCTATATAGAAAGTGCCCCAGGGCACTTAGTGGCTTGCTAAGGGTTGGATCAGGAACACTAAGAACCAGCCTAGTCCCTATCCTTCCCCATCACCACCCTCCCAACGTCCTCCTGTCCCTTAGTCTAGGACATCAGACCAGACCCCTTCCGGGCCTACCTAGGGATACCGGGATCCCTGCAGCGCACGGCACCCTCCTGGAGCCACGGATCCGGAGAGGTGAGGCCAGGAAAGACTTCCTATGGCCTCCGCTTGGAGGCACGGGGCAGTCAGGCTCCGAGGCCACCAGGATGCATGCAGGCCGCTGAGAGCCCGGAGCACAGAGGCGGCGCGCAGGCAGCGGAAGCAGCGCCCCTGCCCACCGCCCTCCGGGGCCCGGCGCCCCCAGTTCCTTCTGGCCTCCTCCTGGCCAGCTCCCCGACTCCCCGCCGGAAGACCGAGTTCGCCGCGAGGGGGAGCCCGCGGAGGCCTGCGGGGTGCCGCTTCCAACCTGCGGGGAGACCCGGGGACAGCTGGCGGTTAGTGCCCAGGATGGGGGGAAGGGGGATGAAAGAGCTGATATCGCCAAGAATGACAAAAGGCAAGAAAAGAAACGCTGGCCTAGGCCGTAAGGACGCACGGAGCCAGCCGGGTCCGGGCTTTCCGCGCCCCTCGCCGCGTGCAGCGGGGACCGAGGATGACTGCGCTGGCGCGGGGGCGGGTGTGCATCGGCCACTGCCAAGCCGGGTGCCCAGGATCGGCCGCAGGATCGGCGTGGAGACCCGCGCCCGGAGAGAGGGCAAGAATATCCACGGATGCACCTCCAAAGCGAGCTTTGTTCTCGGGCTTTCTAGTCCTCGCTCCTCTCGCTCCCTAGCGACCCAACTCTTTACCCAGCTCTTTTCCGGGAGGGCAGGGGCAGCCTGGCAGACGCGACCGCGCTTCCGAGGGGCGGGACACACGACCGGCCATCCCCCGCGGACCCCGCCCCCTGCCCCGGGGGATACCTCGGGACTGTGCACTCGGGTCGTGGAGCCGGATGCTGGAATGCAGGACCAAACCTGGATCAAGCCCAGCACGCGGCCCAGCACGCCACTCGCATCGCGCCTCGGGTTACCCAGGGCCGAGTCTCTGGTTCCATCCCAGTGCGCCGGGACAGCGCTCTGCACCGATGGGTGGCTGAGTATCACAGACATCTTCCGTTCATCCTTTAATACCTGCGGTTGGCACTTGAAGTGAATACAGTGGCCGAAATATATGTTGTTAAAGTCTTAGCTGTGACCCCAGACCTGCATGTGCCCCCTGTTGGGCATCTGTAGTGTCCCCCCAAAACTGTGTCATTCAAAGCAAAAAGGAGGGGGAAGTGAGAAGTGGGAGGACCTCTGGCAGGATTTCGCTAGTTCTATGGCGAACTACAAATCCCAGAGAACCCAGGGACCGGGACTTGTGTCCACTCTGCCACCCACTCGCCCACTAGTATGAGGCCTTACTAAGCCTGCTCGACTCGCAGGCCAATGCGTCGTCGTGCACCTTGGCTGGAGTCAGGCGGATTCGTCCCCCAAATGATGCTTCAGTGGCTGGAGTAGCACAAGTTTATCATTGTCCGGAGAAAGGCGCCCTGCAGCTCCTGCCGGGTTCTGCAGAACGTCTGGCGCCTACACATGCCGGCGTTCTGGATGTGACAACATTCCCGGGGACAGCGGAGACCCACACATCTGGCGCCACTTTGGCGAGCCCTGTTTGCTGCCGGGACACCCCCCCCACCCCGCCCCCCACACACACACCGTGCCCTGCCTAACCCCAGGCTACCTCGGTCCGCTTGTAGCAAGTTCGAATTTATCCGTGGATCTTTGGAAAGTCGGTCTTGGAAATGTTTAGCATTTTGCTGCTTTCCTGCCTGTTCCTGGGGCTTGTGCCAGCACTTACGCAGACCAGCGCAGAGAGGAGGCTGAGCCCAGAGAAGAGCGAAATATGGGGACCCGGGCTAAAAGCCGAGGTCGTCCTTCCTGCGCGCTATTTCTACATTCAGGCGGTGGATGCATCAGGGAAACAGTAAGTGGAAAAAGGACTCCTCGGCTATTTGGAATCACGATGAAAAATTACTGTTTTATCTGTCCCCCGTCATTTATTTCTTCAGACAAGTTTACATTCCAGAATATTGAATGCTGCCCACATCTGGTTATAACAGGCTTCCCTGTCCTAATCACATTTTCCCTGTAGCTTTAAAAGTAATAACGAAAGCCATATTTAATGTAGTATAAATTACATTATGTTATAAAAATAACTCTTTGTAGCAAGCCCCTTCATGAAGAGTTAATACGTCTTGCGACTTGATGGCTATGGCATACTTCCCAAGTAAATGTTCATTGAAAGAACAAAAGAACTATGCAAGCAGTGTACCCAGAAGGCAAACCTCTGGGGCAAAACATGTGTTCTTAAATTCCTGAAAACATTCTGGTTGAGCTGAAGCTATTCCAAGAAGCAGAGGTTTCTGATGAACATATATACGTTTTATTTAGAGGCAGCTTTGTCTGATATCATGTATATACATTGTATTCACTAACTTGTTATAGTATGTCTTACACTTTTTTGGTACTTATTTCCTGTAAACTCAATGCATCCATTATTTCAGTACTGAATAAAAGCTCAGGACTGAGAAGAATGTGCATCTGGGGACCATGAGTCCCAGATCCTCCCTTTAAAACTTCGTCTGTGTCTTCCCCACCTTTCGAGTCTCAGTTCACTCAACCACTAGGAGCTCTTAGCTGTTTAAATAGGAATTGAGGCTAAACAAATCTTTTTTCTAACTGCTTTTCCCATAAGCTGTTGTAAGTACAATTCCGTAGGTATAATAATACAACTGAGTAAACTAAATACATCCCAACTCCGGGAATTGAATGTCCAGAGCAGTTTTGTTGCTAATATGACTAACTACTTTGATTTTTGCCCATGGCTGGGTACAACTTTGAATACTGATTTTTAAGAGTCATTGAGAACAGTTTTGAAAAATAACATCATCTTTGGAACAACCATTTAATAAATGACAAATTGACGGATGTAGGATTGTTATGTATGGAATGCATGCATGTTTCTATGCTTACATAGATTAGCAAATTTAATAGTTCCATTGCAATTGTCTAATGAAAGCATCTTATTTTATTTGGGCCATTATTATCCTTTTTGTTAAAAAAAAAACTTATTTTTATTTATGAGCATTTTGCCTACTTTGCCTACTTGTGTGTAAGGGAACCTGTGTCGTGCAATGCTCACATAAGTCAGAAGAGGGCATTGGATCCCCTGGAACTGGAGTTATGGATGGTTATTAGTTGCCATGTGGGTGCTGGGAACAGAACATGGGTCCTCTGCAAGAGCAGCCAATGCTCTTAACCCCTGAGCCATCTCTCTGCCCTTAAAAAGTCTTTTATCCATCATATTCGTTCTGGTACTAAAAGCATAAGAGAGAAGGAAGCAAGCACATCTTAGGGGAAGAATGTAGTAAATAGTAAAGTTTTACAGATTGAAAAGAATGAGTACTGTGCATTTGATCTTTAAAATAACCCACATATCTCATTGCTCTTCTGTCACAGATTCACATCCTCTCCAGGTGAAAAGGTATTCCAAGTTAGAATCTCAGCACCTGATGAGCAGTTCACTAGAGTTGGCGTCCAGGTTTTAGACCGAAAGGATGGGTCTTTCATCGTAAGATACAGAATGTATGCAAGCTACAAAAGTCTGAAGATAGAAGTTAAATACCAAGATCAACATGTGGCCAAGTCTCCATATGTTTTAAGAGGTATTTTGGACCATTTTACAATAGTATTTGAGAGAGAGAGAGAGAGAGAGAGGATAGATAGATAGATAGATAGATAGATAGATAGATAGATAGATAATATGTGTATGTGTATCATTCCATAAGTAAGAACAACTTTACATGCTTTATCACTGAAAGAAAGAAACAAAAACCAGATGTTTCCCTAATTGAAGGCTAAAGTAAGAGGCCTGGTAATTTGCTCCCTGAAGGCATATTAGTAAGAATAATCAAGTTAAGGGACTGGAGGAATGGCTCTTCAGTTAAGAGCATGTGCTGTTCTTGCAAAGAATGGAGAACAGGTCCCAGCACCCACATCAGGTGGCACACAGCTGCCTATAATGCCAGCTCCAGCTCTAGGGAATCTGGCATCCTCTCTGGACTCCAGAGATACCTGCACTCATATGTGTACAGACAAATACCTATGCATATAATTTAAACTAAGAATAATGAAGTTAAATATGTAGTCATAGATAGCTCTTAAATGGAGATAGAAGACTTAAGTAACTGATAAGTATTGCTAAATTGCAGGGCATGATGGTGCCTGCCTTTACTCTTAGCCCAGCTCTCAGGAGACTGGTGGATCTCTGAGTTTAAGATCAGTCTGTTCTACACAGCAAGTTACTGGTCAGCCAAGGCTACATAGTAAGACCCTGTCTCAAAAAATAAAGTTTAAAATTGTTTAAAAGATTTAAAAAATTTGGGAGCTCACTTCTGGAGTGCAGAATGGGTTGTCTGTTGATTTTGTTGTCATTGCAATGCCATTGTTCCAGAGAAATTCTCTGCTGTTTTCTCACAAAGGATGAGAGGACAACTTTGTTGCATAGGGCAAACTCCTGTTTCATTTGCAGGGGTGACAGGACCCCAAGAAAAGTAAGGATTTTTTTTTATTGTCTAAATTATTTTCCTATGTTCTACTGGGCCTCCATCCAGTTGGATGATTCCATCCAACCTGAAAAAACATTTTAAAAAAATACTACATTGTCATCTTTTGCCTGCATCAGGTGGAAATCCAAGGATGACAGAAAGGAATAAGAAAGTCTCAATTCACTCTGGTATATTATGTTAGCATTATTTCTATAAATGTATAATTAATTCATTGTTATGATATTAATGAAATAGAATGTTTAGAGGATTGCCTTTGCTTCTTTATGTTTCTTTTAAAAAGAAAACATGGTAGGAATTGTTTACTTCTGTTGTTATTAATGATGATTTACCCATTGAGAAAAGTACCTTAGACACTTTAATAACCTATTTATATAATAGACCAGTGAAGTATTAATTCATATCACTTTTATCCTTTGGAACACATATATTCCTTTATTTTTTGCTAATATTTGGTTATTCTTTGTGCTGGATAGCCTCAGTTATCAACTTGACACACTAGGAAGAGGGAACCTCAATTGGGGAATTTCCTCTATAGGGCTGGCCTGTGGGCATGTCTGTGAGGCATTTTCTTGATTGTTGAATGAAATGGGAGGGCATTGCCCACTGTGGGTGGTGCCAACCCTGGGCTGGTGGTCCTGGGTTGTATAAAAAAGCAGACTGAGCACAGGCTAGGGGAGAAAGCCAGTAAGCAGTATTCCTCCGTGGTCTGTGCTTCAGCACCTGCCTCCAGGTTCCAGGTCTGAGTTCCTGCCCTGACTTCTCTCAGTGATGAACTGTGACCTTGGAGATATAACATAAAATAAGCCCTCTCCTCCCCAAGTTGGTTTTGGGCAGTGTTTTATCACAGCAATAAAAGGCAAACTTGGATATTCTTTTTAAAGATTTTTTTTAATATGTATGTATCTATGTGACAGTATGGGCACAGGCATGCAGGTGCTCGTGGAGTCCAAAAGAGGAGGACATCAGAGCCTCTAGAGCTGGCATTACAAGAAGTTATGAGCCTATGGATGTGGGTGCTGGGAACTTAACTCAGGCCCTTTACTAGAGTAGCAAGCACTCTTAACGGCTAAGCCATCTCTTCTCTTCAGCATTAAGGTTATGTACAGGAACTATAAAGAATAGTGAATTATAATGTCTACTGTAGAGCATAAACCCATTGGCTTGGTTTGAAGTTGTGCAACATGAACCAGAATGTAAAAATACCATAAGGCCAGCGTAATGTTGTGGCATGCATCACCACTGGATCAACTTCAGCAGATATCATCCAGGTTACTTTGGCAAAGTTAGTATGAGGCTTTACCACTTAAAGAGGAACCAGAGCTTCTGCCCAACTCTCAACCTTGATAAATTTTGGACATTGGTCAGTGAACAGACACAGGTAAATACTGCCAAAAACAAGACTGGCATTGCCCTCATCACTGATGTGGTACAATCGGGCTACTACCAAGTTCTAGGGAAGGGAAAGCTCCCTTCATCCATCCTGAAGGCCAAATTCTTCAGCAGAAGAGCTGAGGAGAAGGTTTAAGAGTATTGGGGGTGCCTGTGTCCTGGTGGCTTGAAGCCACACAGGGAGGTTCATTAAATACTAACATTGTTTTCTGTTGTTGTTGTTGTTGTTGTTTTGTTGCTGTTTTTTTTTTTTAAGCTGTAAGACTTCATTGTGAAGAGCTGTCAGGATAGAAGACTGACTTACACTGATCTAATGTGATAAAAGCACATTTCTTTTAGAATATGTTTTCAGTCGAAATGCCCTTCTTACCTAACTAATCAGTTCATGGAGATGTGTTTTAGGTTTTGTTCTGTTTCAGATGCTAAATGAAATGCTCATCATTGTTGTCCTGCTGTTTGTATGTGAATAGGGCCAGTTTACCATGAGAACTGTGACTGCCCTTTGGAAGACAGCGCAGCCTGGCTACAGGAGATGAACTGCCCAGAAACCATCACTCAGATTCAGAAAGATCTGGCATACTTCCCAGCTGTTGATCCTGAAGAGATTGCAGTAAAAATTCCAAAAAAGTTTGGACAGAGGCAGAGCCTGTGTCACTACACCATAAAGGACAATAAGGTACAACATGTGTTTGAGGCTTGTTTCTTTTCTGAACTTCCTATTGTTCTGACCATTTGGTTACAGCTGGCTACTTTCAGTAAACATCATTTTATGGGAATCATTATGGCAAGCTTTTCCTGCTAACATATGCTGGTATTTTTAGGTTAACATAATAAATGTCAAATTCTCTTTTAGGTCTATCTCAAGACCCAGGGGGAGCATGTAGGGTTTAGAATTTTCATGAATGACATACTGCTTTCTTTGACTAGAAAGGTAAGTGTATCTTCTGAGTTATAATATGCAACATTAGTCTAGCTTTTACAATGTGATTTTTCAAAATAAAACTCATGTCAATATGAGGAGTGTTGCTCTACTGCTATTCTGAAGTTTTGTTGTTACTTTCCAAGGGCTACTGTAATGAAGTACTTCAAACTGAGCAGTTTAAAAGGACAGAAATTTATGCTCTATGCTTCTGGAGGCTAGATATCTAAAATCAAAATGTTGGCAGGGCCACACTCCTGAGATTCTGGAGGCATCCTTCCCTACTTTTTCCTAGTTTCTGGTAGTGGACCTTTATCCTTGATGCTCCCTGGTTCACACCTGTGTCACTCTAATCTCTGCCTCTTGTCACATGGCCTTCTGCCCTCATGAATGTGAGTCTCTGGGTCTCTTCTTCCCTCTCCTCTCCTTCCCCCTTCTCTCCTCTCCCAAAGACAGCAGTCATATTGAATTAGCATCCACCCTACTCTTGTGTGATCTCACCTTAACTAAGTAGATCTGCAGTGACTGATTTCCAAATAAGGCCACTTTGAGACACTGGGGTTTAGGACTTAAGCATATCTTTTGGCGGACAATGGGTCAATCTACAACCATGTCATATGGAAGAAAGAAAATTCCTTATAGTAAAATCATTTTAGTACTAAACCTACTTAGGTCCAAAGAAGACTTGCCTTATACTGAATCTTGTTCCTTGGTGTCGGGTATTTTAGTCAGGTTCTAGTGGAATACTCCAACTATAATGTTAAAGTGGCTGATTTGAAAAACCATACCTACATTTACCAATTGTATATTTATTTATATTTGTTTATTGAATAATGTGCATACATCCTGATGATATTACTTATGGAAAATCATAGTATGTTTCTTCTCAATATACAAAGCATTTGTAGTCAGTTAACTCTGAAACTAGAAGTTATTTAATAACAGTTTTATGCCTCCTTTAGGCTAAGACATCAAGATACTACAAATACTTCTTGCTTATCTGTGTTACTCCATAGTAAAATAGGTGTTTTCTTCAAGATGCCAATTTCTCAAGATGCTTCTTCAAGAGATCAACATACTTCTAGCACATGCACACATACATACACACACACACACACACACACATCTTTTGGAAATACTCTAAGCACTTCCCATGGCTAATTATAACAGGTTTCTTCAACACATTCTAGTCATTTGTCAGCAAAGACAGTATAGATTGGAAGCACTTTTCTGGCCAAGGTGTTGGGCTTCCTGAATTCAGACACCTACTGCCTACCTAGTGTGTGTTTTTAAATGGAAGTCTCTGGCTCATTATCAAGAACCTAGGGTTACAGCTCCAAGTGGTATATTTCCCAGCAACCCTCTCTCTCCTTGATCACATTAGAGTCTCAGCAGTATTAGAACAAAAATTCCCTTTGCCAGCTCATCTTTTTTGTAGTTAGCCTGTAAGCTGCTTTGGACACCACCGAAAGAAAACTTAGGGTTCTTAACCATGGGGCCACATTCCGAAAAGTTACTGGCCATTTGGCCTGAAGTTGATAAGATTGGCTTTTCATTAGGTACAATGGCTGATTTTTTAATTAGCATACCAGGTGATGGGTTTCATGACATTTCATACATTCATACATGTATTACCATGTACTTATATTCACACATATACCTTTTTTTTTCTTTTTTTTTTTTTTTGCTTATTGAGACTAGGCCTTGCTGTGTAGCCCAGGCTGGCCCTGAACTATGTAGCCCAGACTACCTCACATTCACTATGTAGCCCACTGGCATTCAACTCATGCTCATCCTGTCCCAGCCTCTCAACTAATGAATTTACAGACTTATACCACCATACTCAATTTGCAAATTTTAATTAATAAATATAAGGTGTTACATAATGTAAAAACTAAGCTCTTTGTTCCCCTGCACACACAGGTGAAGATGCCAGATGTGGAGTTTTTTGTCAATTTGGGAGATTGGCCTTTGGAAAAAAAGAAATCCAATTCAAACATCCAGCCGATCTTTTCCTGGTGCGGCTCCACAGATTCCAAAGATATCGTGATGCCTACCTATGACCTGACTGACTCTGTTCTCGGAACCATGGGCCGGTGAGAGACAGTCAGGGTTGACCCTGAGCCTTGGTTTGCTCTCTTTGGTGAGTTCTTTTCCATCTGCCTTTGTGATTTGATGGTTTGGGAGGAAGACGTGTTCCACTTTCTGTCTTTTAGAGTAAGTCTGGATATGATGTCTGTGCAAGGTAACACAGGGCCTCCCTGGGAAAATAAGAACTCCACAGCTCTCTGGAGGGGCCGAGACAGCCACAAAGAGAGGCTTGAGCTAGTGAAACTCAGTAGAAAACACCCAGAGCTCATCGATGCGGCTTTTACCAACTTCTTCTTCTTTAATCACGATGAGAGCCTGTATGGCCCCATTGTGGAACACATCTCCTTTTTCGATTTCTTCAAGGTAGGAATCATCTGTGGCCATTCCTTTCTGCTTTTCTAAATTATGTGTAAAGACAGCATGGGGGAGGGGAGACTGAAGCCTGCAAGTTACAGGGGAAGGGAGGAAAAGAACCAAGACGTGGAGATGTCATCTGATTCTGGACTTACTAAGCCATAATGGTGACTCTGCACCGAGGGAATTTCGAACCTGGAAAAAGCTCTAATTTTTCCAGATAAGCCTTAAGATAAATGCATGTCAGCTCAAATCATTTTTTTATTAATGAATGCATGTAAGTCATTTTACAAATACTTCTCCTGGAACCAGAGCAGCACAAGAAGATGTAAACCAGGTGTCTCTCATCAGGCGTTCTGGTGAGGAATGTGCTTGAAACCCATCCAGATGTGCTGCCTGGGAATTCTGGGGATGACACATGGTTTTCTGCATCTTGAGTGTGGATTCCTCATGTTTCCCAGGGAAAATTCTTTTTTTAATTTTAACAACTCCCTTATTTCAAGTAATGGGTATGGCCCTGCTCTCTGGACCTCTGGGTGGTTTCTAAAGTTCTCTGGGTCAGCAAAAAGGTGTGGTAGGAGAAAGCATGTGAGCTCCTTTGCTTTGTGGATGCCCATGTTTTCATTTGATGGGTTACACTGTTGTAGGTAGACCTAAAGGATGCTATAATTGAACTGTTAGTATTTTTCACAGATGCATCATGAAAGTTTTTTTTTTTAAGGAGAGATTAGCCATCCCTTCTCAGAAAGATTCTTTCTCTCTGTGTCTGTCTGTCTCTCTCTCTGTGTCTATATGTATAGATGTGTGTGGGTAGGTGTATATGTATCTAGGTACATATGTGTATGTGTGTTATATAGTACTGTATATATATTTGTGTAGGTGCATGTATGTGTACAGATGCATATGTATGTGTGTGTGTGTGTGTGTGTGTGTGTGTGTGTGTGTGCGTGTAGGGCAGAGGAACCTCAAGTGTCATTCTTTAGGAGCCAGCCACCTTGTCTCCTGAGTCAAGGTCTCTGACTTGACTGGAGCATGCCAAGTAGGCTAGACTAGCTGGTCCACAAGCTCCAGACATCCACCTGCCTCTCCCTCCCCAGCATATGGATTTCAAGCACGTTACAAGCCATCACACCCAGCCTTTGTACAAGGGTTCTGGGAATCTAAATTCAGGTCCCAATGCTTGCATGGAAAGCAGTTTACTGACTGAGCCATTTCTGCAGCCCCAAGCACAGCATTTGATGTCTTGGCTTTATTTCTGCCTGTTGAATTTTCTACAGCTAAGGCTATTGATTTCCATAGTTCTATGAATATTTTTATTCATAGATAGTCTTGCCCTAGAACTTGTCAATTTCCTTAAGACGTGTGTGGCCATCTGGTGTTTAAAAAACGTTGTTAACATGGCACAGAATGTGCCACCATTAGATGCACGTGTAAATTAATATAGACACAGAGGAATCCCAAATCCATAACACTCAAAATCTGAGGGCAAAATCTGAGGGTGGCAAAATGGTGTGCGGAATTGGGAGGAGAAAAAAAGAGAGTGGAAAATGGGAATTTAATGAAGGCTTTTCTACTCTCCTGCTGTTTTGCAGCATAAGTATCAGATAAATATTGATGGCACTGTTGCAGCATATCGCCTGCCCTATCTACTGGTAGGCGACAGCGTTGTCCTGAAGCAGGACTCCATCTACTATGAACACTTTTATAATGAGTTGCAGCCCTGGAAACACTACATTCCAGTCAAAAGCAACCTGAGTGATCTGCTAGAAAAGCTTAAATGGGCAAAAGATCATGATGCAAAGGTAAGGTCAGTCTCATAGAAGGCTTGCTCCCATTTGTACCACAATATCATGGGAATATTTGAAACATGCCTAGAGACTAGGGTGCTCAGAAACAGCTTTCAGTTGTACATAGGATGTTGCCTGACCATGGGTATCACAGCAGTTCCCCTCCCGGTAAACATAAGCTTGATGTCTTGGATTAGCTGTCCACTCTGCCTGTGAAACAAAAGCTAACCTTGGCCTGGATTGTGCTCCTCCAGTCAGGTTGGTATGAGCACAGGCAGTGTTTTTACTAACAGTGAGAAGATGGCCTGTCTGGCAGGAGATGTGACTAACTGTACTGTAGAGTAAAGTGAGGGATTATTAATACATGAGTAAACTTGAAGCTAGGTGTCTTCTGAGGATGGTGAAGGCAGAGTATTCATGTAGTGCCATGTTTTATTTACTTGATAAAGTCATGGTTACTTTAATTGCTGTATATCCTCTCTCTCCAAGAGAGGCTTAATTCTAGGACACCCCAGATGACAACTCAGACTTTCAGGTCTGGCCAACCTCTCTGAACAAGCATAACCTGTGAAATGTTCTTTTGCCACATAAGACTACTCCCAAGGATGTTTTCTGTGTTATCTCGCTCCATGCATATCCTGAAGATATATACATATGTTTGCAAGAGAAAAAATTTATGTTCCATTAAAGGGTGTTTTATCCCCATAGGCCAAGAAGATAGCAAAAGCAGGACAAGAATTTGCAAGAAATAATCTAATGGGCGATAATATATTCTGTTATTATTTCAAACTCTTCCAGGTTAGTAATTTTTTAAAGTCATATTGCTTAAAACTACACATATTTATAGGCAATAATATTCAAATAAAATTTTCTAGAAGTATATTACTCCAAGGACACATATGTACCACTTTCAGTGAAAATCAGAGACAAATATTAAATGAGTAGTTGAGGTTTAGAGTGTGACTTACTTATATGGCATTTGTCTAGCATGCATGAGGAACTGGGTTCGGCTCCAGAGACTGAGAAAAGAAGGTGAATACCAAAGAATAGCTGACAGATAATGTTACAACCTCAAGTGAAAAATGTTAATATTAAAACTGTATGTGGTATATGATTAAGAACTTGGCCTTTGTGCCTGCAAATTTACTATACATGCCTTTGTATTTTCTCTTTGCATTACGTGGTGCTGCCTTAGCATTTGTACAAAAAGTGCAATAGGCCTCTTATCGTGGCCCCAAGTATTATAAGTTCTCTTGGAAATTATTTCCACGGACCCAGTCATTTGGGAAGTGAAATCAAAGTATATCTAACAATTTCAAAGACTCACCTTAAGATAATATTTTTATCTGAGAATTACAGATACTGACCCCCATACTTGGGCTCTGCTACAAAGCAAAGTTGATTTGTTTCTGGTCTGGACTGGACCTTCCTGTCTTATAACATCCTGTAGAGGATGGTGAAGGGATACAGAGGGTGAGCTATGCAAAATGAGTACACCAGGTTGGGAGGGTGGGGTCACTATCTGAACATGTAAAGATCCATTGAGCCATGTCATTAATTCAAGCTAATGTGAAGCACATGTTTAGCACAGTGCCCACTGCAGAATAAGAACATAATCAAGGAAAGTAGTGACTCAGGCCTGTACAGACTTGGTAGAAAAAGTAGAACTAGGCTCTGTTCTCATTTCTAGGGAGGACTTTCTGCAAAATTATCTCCTTATAAAGCAGAAGATAGTTATAAGGAAAAAATTAGTCATATATATTTGGGATACAGCCAAGTGAAGGGGTATACACCTGTAATCCTGGCACTCAGGTGGCAGAAACAGGAGTATTATACAAGTTTGAGGCCAACCTGATCAACATACTCAGTTCTAGGCCAACCAGGGCTACATAGCAAGACCTGCAAGAAAGACCTTGTTTCAAAAAACAAAACAAGATAGGACTGGAGAGCTTGCTCAGTGGGTAAAGTGCTTGCTGCACAAGCATGAGGACCTGAGTTCAGATGCCCAGCACTCATATAAAAATCAGTGTATGGTGGAGCATCTGTAGTCCCAGCACTGAGAAGCAGTGACAGGAGGCTCTCCAAGGCTCACTGGCCAGCCAGTCTAACCAATTGGTGAGCTCCAGTCTCAGTTAGAGCTGCTGTCTCTAAAAATAAGATGCAAAGTGACTAAGGAAGATCCGTGATATTGACCTTTGTGTACATACAAATATCACACACACACACACACACACAAACACACACATACATGCACCACATATAAGCACACACACAAGCACACAAAGTAGAGTAGAATAGTGAGAGGTCTTTTAGGAGTCAGTAGCCAGTGTTCACATGACAACCAGGACTCAGAAACTGCTGTTGGGCAACAAAGAAGGATATGGAGGATATTGTAGGTCACAGTCTGGTACACATGAATTAAATGAATATTGTACTTAAAAATTCCAATATGTCTCATTTGGTGACTGTACTTAAAGTGTTACTTAAAGAATGCTTTTCTATTGGTGTTTAACAGGAATATGCCAGTTTACAAGTGAGTAAACCACAAATCCGAGACGGGATGAAGAGAGTAGAACCAGAGACTAAGGATGACCTCTTTCCTTGCGTGTGCCATAGAAAAAAGGTAACAAGACTGACCTCCTGGCCCTAGCTGTGTGATAGAACCGGCTCCCATGAGCTCACTGCCTGTGAAATATGCAGAAATTTTGCACACTAGTTAACTTCTTTGGTAGCTTATAATCAGCCTAGTGGGGCTACTACACCATGACAGTCCACATCTGGCCAAGATCAATCAGAACTAACCTTAACCCAGATTTATACCAGGCAACAAATGGTTGAGTTCTTCCTCAGGTGCAGGGACAACTCAGTCCACCAGATTTGGACATGTAGCAGATAAAGAAGTGTATAAGAAAGGATACTAGTGAGAAGATGGACTAGCTCCCTGACAAAGCTGTGGGAAGCCTTTTTTAAAAATTATTTTATGGGTGAGTGTATTGCCTGCATATATGTAAGTGCACTCATGTCATGAAGTGCCCTTGGAAGTCAGAAGAGGGTGTTGGATCCCCTGGTACCAGTGCCAGGACAGTTGTCAGTCACCATGTGGGTGCTGGGAACCAAACCCAGGTCCTCCACAAGAGCAGCAAGTGCTCTCAACTGCTGAGCCATCTCTCTAGCCCCAAGGAAAGCCCTTTTTAATGTGAGAATTCAGATTTCCAGGCTTTGAATAGATATTGATAGTTTGGAAAAATATTTTCCCATGGATCATCTGATATCCTCATCTCCCAGTGAGATAAGTTTGGCAAAATTCATCATCCCAATGTAGAAATAAAAGCAAACACAGCCCTGAGGACTCATGTTACCGACTTATTCATTACAAAGTAGTCACTGTTGATGCCACCACACAATGACTTTATTTCTAAAAGTCAAGTCAATATACACATTCATAAGGCTGGAAACACCCTAGAATTTGGGCAGTCACTGCCTGCATTTTATGGTTAACTCCAAGATGGGGAGATGGTTCACTGGTTAAGAGCACTGCTGGTCTTCCAGAGGACCCAAGTTCAGTTCCCAGCACCTACATGGTGGGCTAAGAACATCCATAACTCCAGTTCCAGGGAATCTGGCACCCTCTTCTGGCCTCCACCGGCACTGTATACATGTGGTGTACTTTACATACATGAAGGCAAAATACTCATACACATAAAATACAAATTTAAAAATTAATAAAAAAAAGAATTTAGCTCAAATTCTAGTTTGATTGTAGCAAACCAAAACCAGCCTCCATTGACCATATCATGTGCTTGTGTACAGGAGACAGAGTATTGTTTGATTATAGTTGAGAGTTTTGTTGGGGCGGGGGGAGAGGAGGTTACATAAACTACACACTCTCTCTCTCTCTATATATATATAGTGTGTGTGTATGTGTGGGGTGTGTGCATGTGTATGCATTTGTATGCATGTGTAAATTTACTGGCTTGACAGTATTTTCTAGGGAATTGGTTTTTTGTGGGAGGGGCTATGTGAATATGCACGCAATGCTCTCAGAGGCCAGAAGAGGGCATCAGATCTCCTTAGAGCTGGAACTAGAGGCAATCAATTGTAAGACTCCCAGTGTGGTTGCTGTAAACTGAATTTTGTGTCCTCTTGAAGAACTAGAAGCGCTCTTAAACCACTGAGCCATCTCTCCAGCCCCAGGATTGGCAGTATTTTAAACAACATCATCATATTTTTCAATGAACAAACTCAAAATTGTGGTATTGTAACTAAAGATGAGAAGGCAGATACAGTTACTGTGTTACTCTCAAGAACATTTTAAAGGGATAGTGTGCCCACAGACAGCAATGGTGAGAGCTCTTAATAGCTTACTTGACTGAAATATGCAAGAATTCTGCCCAGTATATTTTTTTGGTAGCTTATAATCAGCCTATTTACACCATGACAGTTGACAAATCAGAATTTTGTTTGGTTTTGGTTTTGGTTTTTTGGTTGTTTTTTTTTTTTCTTGTTGTTGTTTTTTGTCTTTTTGAAGCAGGGTCTCCCTGTACCCCAGCTGTCCTGGAACTCACTATGTAGACCACGCTGGCCTTGAACTCACAGAAATCCGCCTGCCTCTGCCTCCCAAGTGATGGGACTGCAGGCGTGCACCACCATGCCCACCTTTTGTTTTGGTTTTTATCTTTTTTGGAGAAATGACTTACCACTAATTCACTGCTCACACCCTCCCCCCAAGTGGTACATCCTGTCAGTGTTGCAAAAGACATAAAATCATTAGACCCAATAGTGAAACAGGGATTGGAACTGCCAGATCAAAAAGTATCCCTGAAGCTGGCATGGTGGTACACGCCTTTAATCCAAGCACTTGGGAGGCAGAGGCAGGCAGATCTCTGTGAGTTCAAGCCCAACTTGGTCTAATAGCGAGTTCCAGGTCAGCTAGGGTTACAAGAACTCTTTCTCAAAAAAAAAAAAAAAAGGCATCCCCTTCCCGAATCCTAATTTAATATCACAACACTTCTCCTTTGAGCTCTACAAGAGATTGGGAAGTTTTGTTGCTCTGTTATCGCTAAGTGATTTAGAGGAGGTACCACATTAGTATCTTCCCCCAGCTAGTGGAACTTAGAGTCACAATGGTAACTTTGTTCATTTCTGTTCTTGGCCTACTCCTTCCCTTTGTACAGTTATCCATAACACAGGGCTTTATGGTGCCACAGCCCCCAAATGTTTAGGATCCCCATCCATAACTTCACACTTGGTGATTCTGGTCTTCTAGAAATAGTCCTGAGCCCTAAAGACATTTCTTGGCTTTTTTCTGGCTCTCCTCTTTGGGAGAAAATCAGTGACTGGTGTAGTTTTTATTTATATAAGACTTCTTAATGGCTCTTAATATTTTTCTTCTTAATTTCAGACCAAAGATGAACTCTGATATGCAAAGTATCTTCCATTCAAATGATGGTGCTCTGAAGATTCTCTTCTTAACTGTAAAGAAGGTCATTTTTAAGTATTAATTCCACAGACAATGTAAAATCTGTGTGACTGTTTTCATTATCAAGGTGTTTCTTCTTATGCAGTATTCCCATGACTTCTTTACAGCACATTTTAAATTTTTTGGTAATAAAACTACCTTTATTTTAAAGACCTATATTGGGGCTGGAGAGATGCCTCAGTGGTTAAGAGCACTGGCTGCTCTTGCAGAGGACCTAGGTTTGATTCCTAGCACCCACACGGCGGCTAACAACCGTCCATAACTCAAGTTCCGAATCCAACACCCTCTTCTGACCTCTGTGGGCACTGTACCACATAGGTACATTTACACACATGCAGGAAATACACTCATACACATAAAATTAAATAAAAATATTTTAAAGGCCTATGTTGTACTAATTACTAGCTGTATTTGAACCATAGAGTAGAAAAGGGAGAGTTTCTACTTGCTGTGACTCAAACCTCAGAAACAAAAACAAAACCAGCCAGTTATAGTGGCTCATGTGTGGAATTCTAGCACCCAGGAGGCTGAGGCAGGAGGATTGCCATGAGTTCAAGGCCAGCCTGAGTTACAGAATGAATTCCAATTCTTACTGTGGGCTATACAGTAAGACTCTTACCTTAAAATATATAAAAAAACAAAAAAACAAAAAAACAAAAAAAAACAACTCTCTCTCCTCTGAGCCATTGAGCCATTATTATTTTGGAATGAATGGTCAATTATAGCCAAATCTCATTCTAATACAGTATCCAAGACCTGTCTCTTTTTTTGGTCTTTTTGAGACAGGGTATCCCTGTAGCCCCAGCTGGCCTGGAACTCACTATGTAGACTAGGCTGGCCTAGAACTCAGAGTTCTGTCTCTGCCTCCTGAGTGCTGGAATTAAAGGTGTGCACCACCATGCCAAGCTCCAGGGCCTGTGTTTATCTGGCATCCCTCTGCCTGCATGATTAGTTAGATCTCTTACCACTTCTTTTTTTTTTTTTTTTTCATGTTTTTTTTGTGGGGGGAGGGGGTTGAGACAGGGTCTTCCTGTAATGGGGCTGGTCTGTAACTCACTTTGTAGACCAAGCTGGCCTTGAATTTACATGCCTCTACCTCCTGAGTACTGGGATCAAAGAAGTGTGCCACCACACCCAGCTCTTACCACTTAAGAACTCACCAGTGGCTGCTTCCTTCCTGCCCTGGGATTTGCTTTTCTCATGGTGTGGAAGCCACAATCCGCTCTCCTTTGTACAGCTCAGTGTTCATTTCAGGAATCTAGAACCACTTCTGAATCTGCCCCTCAGATTCTTTGTGTTATGTGTTCACTGTACTATGTGGTAACTGTTTGTAGACCCTCCTTTCCACCCCAGATTTAATGTACTTTTACTACAGAGACCATCTTTTTAGGTCCTAACAGGCTGCCTGCACCTAGACCAGCCAGGAATGAATGAACGAATGGCAGTCACATTGAAAATGCAGTTAAATAACTAAAAGGGGACCAGGTATGGTGCTACATGCCTATAGTCTCACCACTCACAGTTTCAACCAGTTAGACAAGTTCCAACCATGTTATGAAGGTCAATCTGCTTTACTCAAAGTTCACTGATTTAAATGTTAATGTCATTGAAAAATACCCAGGAAGAACCATTCAGAATGTTTGGCCTAGCCAAGTTGACACAAAAAGTTAACTATCACCAATGGGAATTCAACAAATATTTGATGAACACCTCGGATATTGGACTAAGTTCTGAAGACAGAGCAGTAAGTAGTCCCTGTCTCTTCAGGACAAAGAATGAAAAATAAGGAACAGGAAAATAATGTAATTACGGGTTATGACTACAAATGACATTACAGGGGTGGTAATAGAGTGACTACTTTAAATCATAAGATACTAATCAGACATGCTGCTGATTTTTCACTTTTAAGGTGCTTGCTATAGTTTATGATAGTTTATTCATCTGTTAAAATTATTTAAAATTTCCTTCTAACACTAATTTACTAAAGTTTACCAATAAGAAGAGTATTAAATTGTATTAAATCTTTTTTTCAGGTATTTGGAAATGTTCACATTTTATTTTCCTGGTTTGGCTGTATTCATCCACAATGGATTACATTTATAGCATTCTAAAAAACTATGGCCATTATATCTTAATATTTTGTCATGGCTGAATTGTTATAGTAGCTGATTTAGGAATTTTGGAGGGGGACGTCTTTGAGATAGGGTCTCCTTGTAGCCCCAGGTGGTCTGGAACTCACAGAGATTTGCCTACCTCTGTCTCCCAGGTGATGGAAACAAAGCGCCCAGCCTGATTTATGACTTTTTTTTTTTTTTTTTTTTTTTCTTTTTTTGAATCTTTTTGAGACAGGGTCTCCCTGTAGCCCCAGCTGTCCTGGAACTCACTATGTAGACCAGGCTGGCCTTGAACTCACAGAGATCCACCTGCCTCTGCCTCCCAAGTGCTGGGATTAAAGGCGTGTGCCTACAGGGCAAATCTGGCCTACCACCCATACTTAAACAGCCTCTAAACTAAGCACAATTTTTACATTGTAACTGGTGAAATCCTCAAAAATTTTATTTCAATACATGCAGAACTCAAAATTTGGTTCATAGATAAGGCTTTTTATATTAGTTTCCTATTGCTTCGGGGTGTGGCAAATTACCACAGACTTGGTCATCTAAAACAACACAAATGTATTCTGTTGCAATTCTAGTGGTCAGAGTCAGTTTCCCTGGGCTAATGTTAGGATATTTGGTAGGCCTGGGTCCTTCTGGGGCATCTGAGGGCAAAAATCTTTTTCGTGCCTTTCAGGGAGGCAGTGGTTAGAACTGGATTTCTTTGCTTGGGACCCCTCTCTCCATCTTCCCAGCTAGAAGCTCAGCATCTTCAAATCTTGTTTCTCTTGCCGAATCACCTTCTATCCCTCTGAACAGTCTAGCAGTATTATTCCTATCAGCCAAAAGGTGGAAATAAGCCAAATGTATAAATGGATATACAAAACTGTCCAATAGGATTCAGTGGTAAAAAGAAATTAGTTGATTAAAAATGGACAGGGTATGCCTGCATGTCACAACATGGATGAACCTTGCAAGCATTCTAAGTGCAAGAAGCCAGATGCCAAGGATCTCATATTGTATGGCTCCATTTATCTGAACCTACAGAAAAGGTAAATCTATAGACACAAATCATGAGAGTGGTTGTCTGGTGTTAAAGGTAGGAGGGAGTGACAAGTTTCTTTTGAAGACAATGCAGTGTTCTTAGATCTCAATGATGGCTGCACATGGTTGTACAATTAGTGAAATGGTCTCATTGTATACTTTAAAAGACTGAATTTTATGGCATGCAAATAAAGTTAAAGCATAGCTAGAAAAACAGCAGACATGAGCTGGAGGTGTCGCTTAATGGAAGAGTGTCTGCCTAGCATGCACAAAGCCTTGGGTTCTGTTCTCCAACAAGTGAGAGAAGACAGGAAGGGAAGGGAGAAAAAAAGGGAAGAAGGAGGAAGAAGTATTAGCAGGAAATAAAGAAGTATTAACTAAGTGTTAAGACTGAAGCCAGGTGTGGTGGTGCAGGCCTTTAATGCCAAGAGAGGCAGTTTAGCTCTCACAGAGCCCAGTCTACAAAGTGAGTTCTAGGCCAGCTGTAATTACAGAGAGACCCTGCTGTAACTACAGGAAGACCCTGTCTAGGAAAGCGAGGGAGGGAGGGAGGAAGTGAAGAGAGAGTTTATAACTTGAGAAAGCAATTGTGATAAACAGCAGTGAATAACTTATTTGGGGGAAACTTACGGAAAAGAGGTTAGGTACCAAAGTACACTGGGCTTGAGTTAGACTTGCCACTCATTATCCTATACCCAAGAGATTTACAGTTCGACAGAGACACCAAACACACACAAAACAATCTTTTCTTCTTTGGGGAGTTCATAGCCCAGTGAGGACAGTTACAACCACAATAGATTAGATAACCAGTGGAGGACAGGGAAGGTGGGGAGGTGACCAGAAAAGGCCTTGCAGAGAGAGGAGCGACTAGTGCAATTTGATGACCTGGAATGGAACAACCAGAGCCAAATCTCTGGTGGGGCCTGGCCCTGTAGGATTGGGGGCGGCGGGGGAGGGGGGGGCGGGGGTGGTTGGCAGCCCTCATCTGACTTTAATGAGCCAGGTGGGACCAAACGGAAAGGTCTGGGGGGGTGAGTTCCATTTCCACAAGGCCCGCCGGCTGCTGTGAGGGCACAGGAACCGGTGGACACCGAGGTGGTCCCAAGACAACCCTCAGGTGAGCGTTCCAATAAGGCAGGCAACAGAATGGAGAGCTTGGCCCAGTGGTCCAGCGAGAACCGGCTGGGTTCAGAAGCATCCAACTTTTTGACATGGTTATGACATCATCGACGAAATTCACAGTGAGCCGCGCAATCGAACTGCCAAAAGGAGATTTTTTTTTTTTTCTTTTTAATCGCAAAAAAATGTTGATTATTTTGTGTGCGGCCTCGGTCACCGCTATCCTATGCGCATGCGGCCTGAGGGCTGGACCCGCCTGCGGAGGGGCATGAGGAATCCAGAGCCGAGTGTGAGGAAGAGCTACTCAGGATTGACTCTGCCTTTTCAACAGAACAGACAGGACCGGAAGGGGCTGACGACTCGACCCCAGCGGCTTTCCTGACGGGGGCTACGGTCTCGGGCCTCAGGGTTGGCGCTCGCGGTAGGCGGGGCGAGAGAACGAGCGGAAAACTCCCGCTCCCAGGGTTCCCCGCGGCGCGACCCACTAGCCTGGGGGCGGAGCCTGCTGCACGCGTGCGCAGTCGCGGGCCGCGCTGACGGGGGCGGTGAGGCGGTCGCTTCGAGCGTGTTAGTTTGCTCCCTGAAGAGAGTGAGGGCGACTGGGAGCTGGCGGCCACTGGTGCTTTCGCGGGTAAGCGGGGCGGCGGCGGCGGGAAGCGGCGGGAAGCGGGGGCTCGTGGGCAGCAGGAAGGTGCCCGGCGGGCCGCGGAGACACTCGCGGCGCCCCTCCTCAGGGACTGTTGGTTGCAGCCGGGAGGCTCTCGGTGGAAGTTCGACGCCGTTAAGCAGCAGCTGGCTGCCGCTCGGACGGTTTGGGGGAAGAGGACGGAGACGCGGAAGGTGCGGCGGGCGGGGGGCTCGGGGCCCGGCGGCTCTGCTCGGGGGGTCGCGGGGGACGGCAGCAGAGCCGCCTCCCAGACGTGAGGGTCGTCCCCGGGACGGCCGCTGCTGGGATCCTCGGCACACACGGGTTCGATGAACGAATAAACAACGATTCCCGTCGATCTCGAACGCCGAAATTGAATTTTTGCTGTTTGGGGGGGTTGTCGTCGCGACCCCCGGAAGACGGGCTCGTGTTTTTGTTCGCCTGGTGACAGCCAACGTAACGCTGTAGACGTAACAGAAGGCATAGCGTTTTGTTTTTTTTTTTAACTGAAAGTCAAGTGGCTCTAGCATTTTAACCCCTTAGCGGAAGGTGTGGCCTTGGTTACCTTCTGAGTATAAGTAGTGCCCCCCCCCCAAAAAAAAGTCAACTTTCAGTGTTCACGACGTTTGGACACGGTCCTGAGTCCCTGCGCATGTTAGCTGTTATCATTCCAGCGTCACCATGCATGCACTTGGCTACGGATGTTTCCTCCATCTGCGTTGGAAAATCCTGAGGCCGAGCCCGGCTTCAGCACTCCTTATCTCAATCCAGAACCCGAGATTAAAATCCAGAGCCAGGCCTGGTGACACATGCCTTTAGTCCCAGCACGGAGACCGTGGGTCTTTGAGATCGAGGCCATCCTGGTCTACCTAGCGAATTCAGGACACCTGGGGTTTTAGGGGGGATCCTGTCTCAAAAAAATAAAAAATAAAAAGATCGAGACTATCTGGATCAGTTTAAGATTTTTAATCCATAGGACAGTTTGGGTGTCCTGCAGAGGTCTAGGACAAGCGTTTGCAGCATTTGTGAAACATTTATCCTGAAGTTCTGAAGGAGAGTTTTCCCTAAAAACAACAAAGCTCATATAGAGTGCAAGAATCTTGTAGGTTGAAAACATGCATCCATTTTACTCTATGAAATCTCACTAAAATTACAGGGTTGGATTTTTTGGTTGGTTTTTTGGTTTTGGTTTTTTTTTTTTTTTTTTTTTTGCTTTTGTATTTTGGCTGTGGGTTTTGTGCTGTGCAGTGATTCTCCTGCTTCAATCTCTAAAGAGAACATAGGAAACGCTAGCAGACAAGTAAGGAGCTCTAGAAAGCAAATGTCTAAACCAGCAGCAGTGGGCAACACCATAAAGCTAGTCTGAATCACAGTGCCTTCAGGAAGCATGGGAACTGGCAGCACAAGATGCCGCTGGAACTGGGAGGGAAAGTAGTAGTACTGGGGGTAGGGGTAGAAGGCTTAAGGTGAATGAGGAGAGGGCCCTGCTGCCAAGCCATGGTAGAAGGAGAGGATCACTGTGTTCCCACAAGTTGTCCTCTGATTTGCACACAAGTGTCATGATGTACGACCCACCCGCCCCCATAAATATATTAGTCTAATAATAAAAAGTAGGTGAAATCAGTTTAAGAAACAGGGTATTTAGATCCCCTTACCCATCTCTCACTCCTGAGTGGATTGTGTTCCCTATGGTTAGAAGACTAGATGGAGGTTTATTTTGACAAAGGAGAGGATTTTTGAACTGGAGGACCCAACGAAGTTAGTTACAAAGGTACATGTATGAAAATAAGAGCACTGAAGCCAGAATTCCTTCATCCATTTCTCTCATAGAACTTCAAAACTTTTGTAGACAGACAACCTCCAGGCTCAAAGGGGGAGGGGGCGGAGCAGGATAAGAAAACATACAGTTAGACACAAGTTAGCCAATGGTTGCTTCTGGCAAGTAATAATGAGCTCCATTATTAGGGGAGAGTGTAAAGAGACCTCACTTTTTACATTTGTGTTTTAAGATTTTGTGCTGGGAGTTGGGGAGATGGCTTAGTTTGTAAAGTGCCTGCTGCACAAGCATGAGAATCTTGAGTTTAGACCCCCAGCACCAATATAAAAGCCAGGCCTAGTAAGGCCTGACCATCACACACACAGACCCGGCACTGGGGGAACAGAGACAGGTGGATACCTGAGGCTCATTGGCCAGTCACCCTACCCAAATTGATGAGTTCCAGGTTCAGTGAGAGTCCCTGTCTCTATGAGATGAAGAGTAATGTCTAATGCCAACTTCTAACCTCCCACCACGCACGCACACACACGCCACACCCATCTATGGGCATGTACATACAACACAAAAAAAATCAAATTTTGATTCATTTGTGTGTATTGCCTATTTTTAAATGAAATAATTTGTTTAAAATTATAAACAGAGCCGGGCATGGTGGCGTATGCTTTTAATCCCAGAACTTGGGAGGCAGAGGCAGGCAGAGCTCTGTGAGATGGAGGCCAGCCTGTTGTACGTAGCAAGTTCTAGGTCAGTTGTGGATACAGGGAGACCAAAAAATTATGAACAGAATATTTGATACAGCATTTTCCTCTCTCTTGATTTTATCATCCACATATACCTACACACCTGTAAAAATAACCTTAAGTACAACATCACCTAGAAAGATTCATAAGAAGTAATGTTGTTTGCCTTGAGAAGGGTTCTGAGTGAATGGTGAAAGTGGAGTGAGACTCTGCACTGTATGTTCTTGGTATTTTCTGAGCTTTGAACCATATTGCTATTACCTATTGAATGAGTGAATGTTTATGGGTGATAATGGGAATTCTGATGCTGATAATACGGTGAAAAACAAAAGTTCTCTTTTAATAGAAATACTCAACAACAATCGCAAAATTACAGTGACTTTCATTCACCCTTTCATGCTTACGGTTCTTCGGGTTGGTTGTGTTTTAAATTGGGCTTCAGGGCTTTTTAATTGGAGGTTCACATCTGCTCCATCTTCATTAAAGGATCCTGGCTAAAAAACTACTGGGATTGTTTTTTCTACATGACTCAGAGTAAAATTCAGTTCAAGTGGATTTCTAGGAATTTTCCATGTCTCAAAACTAATTGAAAGTCCTGTTGCTTTAATTAAAGCAAATCATAGCCAAACTCAAAAGTCAGTAGACTCACGTGACAAATACTGTATATATACCCTGCTGTTCAGGAGGAGGAAGATAGGGCTGAGAGATGGCACAGCAGTTAAGAGCACTGGCTGCTCGTGCAGAAGATCCAGGTTCAAATCTCAGCATCCACATGGCAGCTAACAACTGTCTTTTACTGCAGTTCCACAGGATCCATGATGCCTTCTTATCTCCTCAGGCACTGCATGACATGAGTGCCCTTAAATACATGCAGACATAACACAAAGTTTTTATTTAATTTATTTATTTTTTATGTGTATGAGTGTATCACTTGCATGTATGTGAGTGCACCTGTGTCGCGCAATGCCACGGAGGTCAGAAGAGGGCTTGGGAGTCCCCTGGAACTGGAGTTAAGGACGGTTTGTAGCTGCCATGTGGGTGCTGGGAATCGAACCCGGGTCTTCTGCAAGAGCAGTCAGTGAGCCATCTCTCCAGTCCCATCACAAAGGTTTTTAAAAAAAGGAAGATGAAATGAATGATGAAGAAATTGGTTTAATGGTTATGAAAAAATTAAATTGGGGATGGTTGAGATTATAATGGAAGAAGGAAGGTAAAAGAAATGTTGAAGAAAAGTAGTAGATGTAGAGAAATTGAGTTGGCAGGTCAGAATGATGGTTCTTGGGAAAATATCTTCTCGTAGGTATTCTAAAAATTATTTTTATCAAGATGCTGCATCCTGCTTTGAAATAAATCATTTTAAGGCTTCCATGCTAAAGCATCCCATTTTTATTATCTAACATCTGCCAAATCCTGTAATCAATTTTGAGTCCCCATAGAAATCCTGAAAGTAATATGTGATTAAATAGTATACAGAGAAAGATACCAGTTTTTAGAGTACTACTTCTGATTGTGTTTATTTCAGCTATTGAATGTGCTCATTTACCGTTTTTGTTATATCCATGTCTGACAACTCACCTTTCACAACAGAATCTTCTTTTCAGGGAGATGCCATTTGCTTCTCAGATGTAAGGCACTTTGTGTTCATTACTCAGCAGTGAAAATGAGTCATACAGAGGTAATATATTTTCCTAAGTTCTATATTTTCAGATCTCTTCTTTGCGGGGGAGGTCAATCATAGCTTCTGAGTAATTTTCTTATTTTCAGTTTGCACTGTGAGAGGCTGTACAGTATTAGCATTTCAGAGTAGATTGTCTTGAGTTTGAGTCTTAGCTAGTGGCTGTATAACTTAGTCTGCTATGCCTTATCTATAAAATGGGAATAATAATAGAACTTGCCTCAGAATTATGAGGAAGGTTTAAATGAGTTAATACATATGAAGCACTTATACTACCTGACACACAGTGAGCACTTCTTAAATATTATTAACACTATTACTTGTTTGGAGGACATGACTTCAATCATGATTCTCACAAAACAATTATGTATTGCTTATATTAAGTATTATGTCTATTGAATAGTCAAGGAAGTAATTTGATCTCTTTATTCTCTTGAATTTTAGGTTAAATTAAAAATACCTTTTGGAAATAAGTTACTGGATGCCGTTTGTTTGGTACCTAACAAGAACATAGCATATGGAATAATTCTTACACATGGAGCATCAGGAGATATGAATCTTCCTCATTTGATGTCACTAGCAACCCATCTTGCATCTCATGGGTTTTTTTGCCTAAGATTTACTTGCAAAGGCCTTAATATTGTACATAGAATTAAGGCATATAAAGCAGTTTTGGTAAGAAAAAATGTATTTACATATTGTAACAAGATTTTGTTTAAAGCTCGTCATAAATTTCATGAAATTTATTCATAAAATGTAAGATATTCTGTTAACAGTCATTTGGTTTTATATAGAAATATTTTAGTGAGTAGCCACAGGAGCTTAGCAGTACATGAAAACTATTTGTCATGTTTCTCTTTGTCATCAATTTTTTTGTTTGTTTTATGTGTATGAGTGTATTGTCTACTTATGTGTAAGTGCACTCATGTCATGCAGTGCCTGTGGAAGTCAGAAGAGGGTGTCAGATCCCCTGAAACCAGAGTTATGGACAGTTAGCCACCATGTGGGTGCTGGGAATTGAGCATGGGTCCTCTGCAAGAACAGTCCATGCTCTTAACCCCTGAGCCATCTCTACAGCCCCCTCCCCATCAATTTGTTTTTATGGATTTGAGTGTTCACATCATAAATGTTCTTCCATGGTATATTGCTAAAGAAGCTACAAAGGATTTTCTCACTGGAATTAGTGAAATGCTAGAATATAGCTCTGCCAGTCTAGAGTATTAAACCTATTGTACTGTGCATAAACAAAGCACTTTTCTGTTTGGAAACATTGCTTAAAACCCATAGATAAAGCTCAACTCTGAAATTCCTTTTACTCTAAATTCACATTAGATGTCAGTATTTTCATCAGATTTGAAACTTTTACTAGCTTTTAAAAAATAATTTGTTCTTTTGTTGGGGGTGGTGACTCATGCCTTTAATTCTAGCACTTGGGAGGCAGAGGCAGGTGGATCTTTTAGGATTGAAGCCAGCCTGGTCTGTGTAGCAAGTTCCAGGCCAGTCAGGGCCTGGAGACCCTGTCTCAAAAATAATTGTTCTGAGCTGGGTGTGGTGGCATATGTCTTTAAGCGTAGCACTCAGGAGGCAGAGGCAGGCAGATCCCTGAGATAAGGCCTAGTCTACAGAGCGAGTTCCGGGCCAGTTGGAGCTACAGGGAAACCCTGTCTTATAAAGAAAGTGTTCCTGGGGCTGGAGAGATGGCTCAGCGGTTAAGAGCACTGACTGCTCTTCCAGAGGACCCGGGTTCAATTCCCAGCGCCCACATGGCAGCTACGAACCACCTTTAACTCCAGTTCCAGGGGAATCCTAAGCCCTCTTCTGACAGCATTGCACAACACGGGTGCACTCATGTACATGCAGGCAATACACTCATACACATAAAATAATAAAATATATTTTTAAAAATGTTCTTTTGCAAGTTTAACCCTTGAATATTTTATAAATGCAAATTGATTTCTCCCTGACATATTAGCCAATAACATGTATTGTATAACAAAGGGTTTAATAGTCAACACATAACCAGAAATGGAAAGAACTGTATATCTCCTGCAAGAATCTTTATAGTTGCCTTTTTATAGATTCTTGTATATATCAGTAGTGATAAGAGTCTAGTAAAATTTTATATGAGAAGAATTGATAATTGTTTGATTTATCTAGAATTATCTAAAGACCTCAGGAGAATACAAACTTGCAGGTGTTTTCCTTGGAGGTAAGTTTCAGTGCTTATGAATACTTACTTGTTAACTACCCATTTTAATACTAAAACAGTCAACAGGAAGTTAATTAAGAATACTTTCATTTTAGTAAGTGACCTTTATATTTATATATTTAAAGCAACTAAACATAAGACATGTATGTGCTATATTGTGAGACTGTCTCCTTTTATTTATATTGTCTTACCACTCTTTGAAAAGTTCACTAACAATGTCCTCGCCCTTTGAAGTTTTGAAAAAATTACTTTTTGTCTTAAGCCAGATCAGTTTTTAGCTTTTCATAAGGCTGTAGATTTACATTATGACCACTGCAATTTGTTAGTTGCCACTTTTTGATGTGATTTTTCTCCCCTAAAGATGAAGAACAGTAAATGACTTTCACCACACCATCACTACTGTTGATGTGAATGTTTATATTTCTAATTGAACTTGCTTGGTCTTAGGTCGTTCAATGGGCTCAAGAGCAGCTGCTTCTGTAATGTGTCATACTGAGCCAGATGATGCTGATGATTTTGTTCGAGGTCTCATTTGTATTTCTTACCCACTGCACCATCCAAAGCAGCAGCATAAACTCAGAGATGAAGATCTCTTCCGTATAAAAGATCCTGTACTGTTTGTGTCGGGCTCAGCAGATGAAATGTGTGAAAAGGTGAATTGGAATTCAGTAATTGAGTGAGGGAATGAATATATCAGGGGCAAGATATCAGCCACAACATTCAGCCTCTTAAAAAGATGCCTATTTGTCTATTGCTAGTTATATGTCTTTCTTATTCTGTGATTTTGGAGTACCTAAAACCAAAAACATATGAATTTATCTCCCCAGAAAGGGAGTCGATAAATGGATTTAATCCTTATTTGGGGAATTAATATTAGAGCGTTTGAAAATTTTGGGAAATAATGAAGGTGTGGATTTGGTTGATTATTTCAGATTTTAGGCATATTACTTGTTACAACAGTTGACTCCCAAGTAAGGGTTGTCAGTATTTATACATTACTGAATATTAGGAAAAGATTTTTCAAAAAAATATCAGGTGTGGAGGGGTTCCAATTTGATTAGCTTTTCATCAGTAATGAATACTTGGTGTGTTTTGTGATGCTGTTTGAGAGAAATGGTCTGTAGCCATTTCCTTGTATGTTCCACTGTCTAGAAAGTTATATATGGAGCAGGTATTTAATGAATACTTCTGAGTGTAGATGAGGGAAAGATAATCTTTCATTAAGCACCAATAGAACGTTAGTATCCTCTTATGTTTTTCTATTTAGAATTTGTTGGAGAAGGTGGCACAGAAAATGCAAGCTCCAAGTAAAATCCACTGGATTGAGAAGGCTAATCATGCCATGGCAGTGAAAGGACGGTCCACAAATGATGTTTTCAAAGAAATAAATACACAGATCTTGTTTTGGATCCAAGAAATCACTGAAATGGACAAGAAATAATTGTCATTCATTAAAAAGCCATGTTATTTTGAATACAAGTACAGTTAATTTGATAAAAACAATATACCTCTCAGCATTGTGAGATATATTTCAAACTAATGTTCTTTAATGTTGCCCTATTTTTGAAACACATTGTATTGTGAAATTAATATCCTTTACAAACTGTCTTTTGAAAGCACTGTTATAGTTATATGAAGATGATGTACAAATATTGAAGGTTTGTCTATAATTTATTTTCATTAGTATAGTTAAGTTTTGAAAAAAATTAAACATTTGCATTTTGTTACAATGGTTCTTTTGTCTTACTGAAATGCAACCAAGAAAGTAATTTTGTGGAGCAGTAGCACTTGTTTTTTGTTTCTGTTTTCTGAGACAGGGTGTACTATATGGCCCTGGCTGGCCTGGAACTTACATTGTAGACCAGGCTGGGCTTGAACTCACAGACATCCACGGACTTCTGCCTCTGGGGTGCTGGGATTAAAGGCATGCACTACGGTGCCCAGTGAGCGGTATCTTTGAAACAGAAAAGGGAATTCATAAAGGGCTTGCTGTGCAAACATGAGGGCCTGAATTTTTTAAAGTTTTTACATTTTTTGTCTGTGTGTCTACACAAATGTGCACTGAAATCAGAGGACAGCTTGTAGGAGCTGGTTCTCTCCTTCCACCATGTGAGTCCTAGGGAACAAACTCGGGTCATGCTTCACTTGGTTGCAAGCACCTTAAATCCCTCCTCCCAAGCTACCTCACCAACCCTGAATGTAATCCCAGCACTGGGGAGGCAGAGACAGGAGGCTTCCCCGGGCTTGCTAGCCAGCCAGTCTAGCCAAATCTGTAAGATCAGGTTCAAAGACTTGTCTTAAAAGATAAGGTGGAGAGCAAATGAAGAAAGCACTCTAGACTTCTGGTCTCCGTGTGTATACACAGACATAAATAAAAGAAACGGATTGGAAGTGACACTGGTTAGAAGACTTGCAGCTTCAGAACCTGGGCTCCATTCTCAGCACTAATAAAGCACAATTAAGGGATAGTAGTGGAGATGCATTTCAAATGCACAACCCTGAATACTTTATAAAATAGTTTCATTCACAAAGTGCTACTGAAAGTCTTGTTAGGTGACCCTTTAGAGGGGTTTGCAAAAATGAGTAAATACTTGGGAGTTTCTAACTGCATGAAATCAGTAGACTACTCCACTAAAGAATTAAAAATAGTTTGACTAATGTATACTGTAGAGTTTGGGGTGCTTATAAACTGTACAAAATAATGTTAAACTTTTTAAAAAGTTTATAATAAAGGTTTTCTATGATAAATTATATCAACAGAACAACCTCCCTACTGCTCTTAGAAGGACTTAAACCAAGTTGCTGGGTCCCTCATTCTTACCCTAGTAAGAGTAGATGTTTGTGGGGGGGTTTTCCCCCTTAGATCTGGCATAAATGAAAACCTCGTTATCAGAGGCCAGGTCATTCATACTACAGAAACCATGTACATCTACAAATCTGAGATCCCCGTGTCACTGTGGATATAATAGCTTTTGACTAACTCATTTCTTGAACAAGACCTAATTTAAAAAAAAAAAATGTAGAGACAGTTGATTGACATTTTTAAACAATACTGGTGTCTAAAACCATCAGGGCCAGAGAGATGGCTCAGTAAGAGCACTTGCTCTTGCTGAGGACCTGGGTTCGATTCTAAGCGACCATATCATGCAGCTCCCAACTGCCTATAACTCCAGTACCAGGGTGTCTTACATATATGTAGGTGTACACATGAAGATTGTTTAAAATAAATCAGCTGGATGTGGTGGCATATGCCTTTAATCCCAGCACTTTGGAGACAGGCAGGCAGATCTCTCTGAGATTGAGGTCAGTCTGGTTTACATAGTTCCAGGCCAGTTGGGGCTACAGGGAGACCCTGTCTCAAAAAACTAAAAATGAAAACTAAACCAAAAACATGCCCCAAACTATGACTGGCCCATTAACACATAAAATCAATTAGGAAACAGTGCCGGGCGTGGTAGTGCCCGCCTTTAATCCCAGTGCTTGGGAGGCAGAGGCAGGCGGATCTTTGTGAGTTTAAGGCCAGCCTGGTCTACATAGTGAGTTCCAGGACAGCTGGGGCTACAAGGAGGCCCTGTCTCAAAAAGACAAAAAAATCAGCAAATAATATAAACTACAATTTAATAGGAAGGAGCTGGGGATGTAGCCCAGAATCAGTCCCCAGCACTACAAAAAAAACCCAGGGAAATACAAATGGTAACTTTCTGCAAATCAGAATATGTAAGTACAATATAAAATGGATTTAGGAGGTTATTGATCAAACTACAATTATTTAAATTCAAAATAATAGAGTAATATGGGTGACCAAAGTTACTACTAATTCAAAGATTAATTTCCCTAAGTGGTTGATAAGAAACTACAGTTTCTGTTTTACGTAATAGCTTGACATTTGTAAACTGTGTGCCTAGTCATGGTTGGGAAGTCTATAACTTAGAGATGAGTGGTATGTCTAAGGCTTTGAAAGGAACATTAAAGGAAAGACTTTTGTGCTTCCTTGTGTATTTGGCAGGAAAATATGCAGCTCCTTTTTGTTTGAATACTATCAAGAGAGCCATCCAGATGTCCCAACTGGTAGGGCCTAATTAATGACTGCCAACTACTAACACTAGTGATTCATTTATTTTTACTTACTATACAAGATAATGGATTTCATTATAGCAATGACCAAGGCTTCTTATCTGAGCATGGAAGCATTTTTGGTCATCGAGACTGGAACAGGTGCTGCTAAGGCACCCAATAAAAGAAAAGGATACTGCTAACCACCTACACTGCAGGACAGCACCACAGCAGAGTATTCGGTCTAAAATGGCAGTAGTGCGATGCTGGTAAGTTGTTGTGGACAAAGTAGTGTGGGAGCCACTAAATTTGGGACTTTATGTGTTCAAAAGTCGGATTGTACCTCATCTTCCTGTTTGTACTACCATCGAGTTCAGGGTGTTACCAGTTCTCATCTCTTTGGTTGCAATAGTGACCTAACTAATGTCTCTACTGTCTCCTGACTGACAGATCAGTGGCTATTCCCACACTTAAGTTTCCAAGGTGGCTCCAGGAAGGGCCCTATGAACACTGACCTTCCCCTTTTCTACTCTGAAACTAGCAATACTGTAGCTAACTTGAACTGCACAGTTCTGTTAAAAGGAATGCCTTTCTGCCTCTTCTGTAGTTTTTGTTTCTATTAAATCTTTACCCATTACCAAATCCTATTCATCCTTCAAGAACTGGCTGTAAAACAATTTTCCTCATTCTTTCAGGTTTCCTTTCATTTCCAGAGTATCTCTCATCAAGCCCCATGAAAATTTCTTCCTGTCAGTCACACTGACACTCTACCAGTTACATAACTCTTCGAGTCAAGAGATAGATGTTTAAACTCCTTTTAAAAGCACCTTTTGCCTTGCACAATACTGAATAAATATTTGTTGTGCTGAAGTGAGCTGTTTATTAGTTCTCATAATTACAGGCAATCCCTGATTTATGTTACTTGTTATTGGGAGATTTTTTTGTTAAAGTGAAGTCCTTATCTTAGTGTCCACAGGTTCAAAGAATATGAAATTGGCAGATCGGGTAGAATCCTTGAGTGTTTTCCTGTGTCTTTTTTGTTTGCTTGTTTGTTTTTGAAACTCATTATGTAGACCAGGCTTGCTTTGAACTCACACAGATCTGCCTGCCTCTGCCTCCCAAGCACTGGGACTAAAGTCCTGTGCCACCACACCCGGTTATTGTTTAATATTGTTGATGATGAGTTATCTCTCTGATGCTCTAGTTTTTAGCCTCTGCAGGCACTAGGTATGCGCATGGTGCACATCCATATATACAGGCAAACACTCATACACATAAAACAATTTGTAAACAATTTTTGTGTGTGTCTTTTTTGAGACGGTCTCCCTGTAGCCCCAGCTGTCCTGGAACTCACTATGTAGACCAGGCTGGCCTTGAACTCACAGAGATCTGCCTGCCCTGCCTCCCGAGTGCTGGGATTAAAGGCATGTGCCACCATGCCCGGCTGTAAACATTTAAACTTGCCTTCATGATTGTTAAGAATAAATGTATTTTTTATGCTTCTCACTTACTTTTGGCCTGAGAAGAGGTTTCTAGGGCAAGGGAGCATCTACTTGGAACAACAGATGCACTCTTATTAACAGGCAATTACATATGGAACAAATATAACAAAGCCTGAGAAGCTGTTATAAAACAGCATATGAGCGCAAGTCAGTGGAAAACTAACTAGGGATCCTGTGCTGTAAAGCTTGGAAACACAGAAGGAACTACAGGCAGTACTGAAGTAAATCTTTAAATTACTTGACATTAAGTGAATTTGAGAATATATGCCATCAGGTAAGTCACATATTTGCTAGTTGCTTGAAATTTTATAGGAAAAGCCAACACAATGAAAGCACACAAACACACTAAAAGATTTAAAAATCGAGGAAGAAAAAAGAATGTCTTCAAAGAAAAATTACTGCTGGACAAGATGGCTCACACATTTAATACAAGCAGGCAGATCTCTGTGAGTTTGAGGCCAGCCTGGTCTACATAGCAAATTCCAGGTCAGTCAAGGCTACACAGACCTTGTCTCCAAAAAAAAATTCTAAGAGCAGAATTAACCCTAAGTAAATAATAAATACCCGCCATCGAGTCGGCAGACTATAAATTCTATAAAGTTATGTATCTTTGATTTCATGAGCCTCAATACTGGGGAAGTAAGAATCTTTTACCCTTGGAGGAGGCCTGAACAATTTACCCCAATGGAATAAAACTGCTTTCCTTAACTCATCTTGAATAAAAGTAGACAAAGAGGTATTATATCATGAAAGAAAATATGCTAGATCCAAAATCGTGTTAATATCTTTCACTGTAAGTCTAAAGTGACTAAATTGGTATTTGCTTAGCAACTTCCAGACCTCCCCTCATGACTTAGAGAAAATGATCAGTTTTTAGATCTGCCTCTAACTCAACTTTAATTCTGATGTTAGAAGGACATCACAAGTAGCACTTCAAAATCACCATAGACATGATGGAAGAGGGAATTCACTAGCAGGCTATTCAAAAGTCTGACTTCAATTGTCAACATCTCAATAGAGGGTGGAAAAGAAACTTGCCAAAAGAGCCCCATAGCAGCAAGAAATAAAAAATATTCTGAGAAACCAGGCAGGCTCCTCACAGACAAGTTCTAAGTCCTAAACAATAGCAATAGGATGTACTTAAAGAGCTGTTTGGCATATGTCAAATTCAAATTAAATAAGGTATGCAGGGGCTGGAGAGATGGTGCCGTGGTTAAAAGCACTTGTTTTTCAGAGGACCTGGGTTTAGTTCCCAGCACTCATATGGTGGCTAGAAATTGTGTAACTCCAATTCCAGGGGATGAACACCCTCTTTACTCTCTATGGTCTCTGTGCACATGGTACACTTAAATACATGCAGGCAAAAAACTCATACACATAAAAATATAAATAAAAATAATAAGTAGGACATCTAGATTTGGGTTTTTGTTTTTTTTTTTTTTTTTTTGGTCTTTTTGAAACAGGGTCTTTCTATAGCCCCAGCTGGCCTGGATTCACTATGGAGACCAGGTTGGCCTTGAACTCACAGAAATCCACCTGCCTGTGCCTCCCGAGTGCTGGGATTAAAGGCATGCACCACCACGCCTGGCAACATCTAGTATTTTTATTTGCTATGCCTGTCAGCTCAACATTCATTCTAGGAAAGGACTATATTTTCTTGACTGCAAGAAAGCATAAAAAACACTATTGCTGAGCTGTTGAGGTGGTTCAGCAGGTAAGAGCACTGACTGCTCTTGCAGAAGACCTAGGTTCAATTCCCAGCACCCACATGGCAGCTAACAACCATCTGTAACTAGTTCCAGGTGATCTGGCGCCGTCTTTTGACCTCTGTGGGCATTGCACAACATGAGTGCACTTACATACATGCAGGCAATGCACTTGTACACATAAAATAATAAAAAATAAAATTAGACACAACTGCTGATGTGGAGGCTGGTGAGATGACTCATCATTTAGAAGCACTGGCCGGTCTTCCAGAGGACCTGGGTTCAGTTCCCAGCACCCACATGAGAGCTAACAACCATTCATTAACATTCTCTTTTGTCCTCTTCAGGCACTGCATGCATAATGCTGCTTTTACATATATGCAGGCAAAACACTCATAAAATAAAAATAAGTATTTTTAGAACACTTCCAGGCATGGTGGTGTATGCCTTTAATCCCAGCACTTGGGCAATGGATGTAGGCCAGTCTCTGTGAGATCAAGGCAAACCTGGGCTACATAGCAAGTTCCAGGCCAGTTGGGGATACAGGGAAACCCTGTCTCAAAAAAGATAACAATAAAAAAAGAAGAAAAGAAATGCTATTGCTGATAGAGAAACTATTAAATACTTTCTAATCAAATTTATTTTTAACATGATCCAATTACACTGAGACTGTGTAGAATTATACTGTTTTGTTTTGTTTTTTGATCTTTTTGAGACAGGGTCTCCCTGTAGCCCCAGCTGTCCAGGAACTCACTATGTAGACCAGGCTGGCCTTGAACTCAGAGATCCACCTGCCTCTGCCTCCCAAGTGCTGGGATTAAAGGTGTGTGCTATCATGCTCAGCAATTATGCTGTTTTTATTAAACTAACGAAAATTTTAAAACTACATATGTTGGGTATGATGTCTCATGCTTGTAATTCCAGCATTTGAGAAGGCAAAGAAGGAGGATTGCCTTGAGTTCAAGGTCAGCCTTGGGGCTTTATAATGAGCTTCAGGCCAGCCTGGGCTACAGTATAAGACTCTATTTGAAAAAAAAATAAAACTAATGATGCCAACACAGATGGTGCACACCTGTGCTGAGGCAAGCGGCTCTCTAGTCCAGGGTCAGCCGGGGCTACATAGGGAGTTCCAGACCAGCACAGGCTTTAGAGTACAAGATCCTGCCAAAACCAAGTAACCAGCCATCTTCTAGCACTAGCACTGTGTGTACTGTGCATGTTTACCAGGGAACTTTCATTATTGTTGACGCCGCTGTGAGCTCAGTTAAACACCCATTGTGACACGCACCTTGCTTTACTGAGGCCGGAGCAAATGCTGGTGCATTTGGGGTAGGCACTGAATGACACTAGAAGTGGTTTTTGTGCCAGAGCTTTGCAAATGATTATGAGATGGACAGAACAACTTTTACTATTTGGAGGGCATCTGGGAACAGTGTCTTTTGAATGAGAAACCAATCCATCATGTCAAACCTGTACTATTTCTTTAAAAATATCTTGAATTGTATATTGGATGAGAATACATTTTCCACGATACGGGACTTTCTAGGCGACTGGATTTTAAAAAATGCTTGGATGACAATCTTATTTATAGTTTTCCTAGGAGTTTATTTTGAGATAATCCTCATAAGAACTTTTGAATTCCTTAAAAAGAAGCTTGAGCTACAGGAAAATGGTAGTCCAGAGTCTCAGAAGGTAAGAAGGGTTGACTGACCTCCTCTGTTTCTCAAAACCATGCATAATAATTTGTAAAAATAAAACAAAAGATTCTTTTTTTTTTCACTTTGGATTTTTCTGTAACATTTAATCTTCTATCTTTAAATAGAGTGAAGACAACGTCCCGAGAAGGTTGACATTTGGTAAATACCATACAGTTTCATCTTTTAATATGAAACCTGTTTGGCCAGATATTTTCCACTGATACTGTGACTTTTTAATCCCACATAGGTCTAGCGAGTCGGGCAGCTGTGTGCTCATCTGCAGAAGAAAAGTAAGTGATGTGTTTTGCAATTAAATAAAATAGCTTGATGGCATCCTATTCAAACTTGCATTTGTTTCTGAATTCCAGAGAAGGCTCTTCCCCTCCACACAGTGGATTCTAATTGTTCATTATAACTCAATGCAACGTTGATCTTAAATGGTTGCTGTGTTCTAAACTATATTAAGGGCTTTTCATATATTAGTGAAATTATCCTTCAAAGTAGGTAGTGTTGTTTTCATAGTTGAAGGAGAGATACAGTTTACAGGGTTAGCTGACTCGTACTCTTTTTTTTGGGGGGGGTCTTTTTCGACAGGGTCTCCCTGTAGCCCCAGAACTCGCTATGTGGATCAGGCTGGCCTCGAACTCACAGAGATCCTCCTGCCTCTACCTCCCAAAGGCTGGGATTAAAGGCATGCGCCACCACACCCAGTTTATGTTCTCATAGCTTATTCCTCTCACTATACACAAAGAATTACTAACCACCACTTCTTATACCTGAACTGGAAAAAATCATTTGCCGTCTATTATGGACCAAGCCCACACTGAACTGGTGCTGTAAAAATGGTAGATGCTCTCTGAAATTTGGAATACAAATCAGAATCTATCAGGTATCTCACTACTGTGGATTAAATATTGACTTCATCACTACTCTCTATTGCTATTTTAGTGGTTTCAACTAAAATTCATTAAAAAATGGTTAAATATCTATATAATGGAAACTGTTTGTTGCTAAGATACAGATTGAAGATGCTTTCTGGTCTCTAAAGAGACACATAGCCAAAGGACGGTTGTCTCACAGTCTGGGAACAGGAGATACCTAAGCAAGCCTAGGGCTGTTGAGGATGGCTTCATGAAGACTATGCTAGAGCTGGCTTTTCAACTTTTTAAAATTACATCTATTTGTTTATTATGTGTGTGTGTGTGTGTGTGTGTATGCAGTGTGCATGCAGAGGTCAGAGGACAACTTATAGAAGTCAGTTCTCTTGCCCCACAAACACTGGGGATCAAACAGGTTGTCAGCCTTGGCAGCAAGCACCTCTACCAGCCGAGCTAGCTCACAGGCCCTGGAGCTGGATTTTAAAGAATGGATGTAAAATAGCCTAAAAATAGAGTTAAGGGGCACGCCAAGACAAAGAAATAGAAGCAGCAAGCTATGAGAAGGAAACTGTGATTTCAGATATGCTGGACTGTTAACATGGATCAGGGAATAGCAAGAGATGAATGTGAGGAAGCAGAAGGGTCATGGAGGGCTTTCTATACCATGTTACAAAGCTTGAATTTAATTCTGGGGAAACTAACCACTGTAGCTATATAAGAACAGGAGTGTTTGGGGGCTAGGAAGGTAGCCCAGTGGGTAAGACACTTGCCCACAAGCAGCCTGTAGTTCAGATCCCTAGCACTCATGTAAATGCTAGATGGGTATGGTGTCCACCTGTAATCCCAGCACTCAGGAGGCTTAGACAGGAAATCTCCAGAACAATCTGGCTAATTAAACTGCCCAATGGGTGGGCTCTTGAGTTCAAGTGACATGCCCTGCCACAATATATAAGGTCGAAAGCGATGGAGGATGACACCTGACCTAAATCTCTGGCCTCCATGGGCATGCTCACAAATACACAAGCACACCTACAGACACATATGAACCACACATGTGAACATGCATACACGTATGCATACACAACACATACACAAAGAGGAATGTTTCTTATTTCTGTGAAATCACTCATTTCTTGGTGTAGAATGAATGTTGTTAAAGTTTTTATTAATTTAACCTAGTTGCTCTATTATTCTATTGGGTCCTAGAAACTTTAATTGTAAGACAGGTGTCTTGGAAAGCTGCAACACTGTGTAGAGAGAGGCAAGATAAGTAGAATTCTTGCCAGGAGTGGCTGGGAGTAGGCATGCCATTGCAAACTACTGGGTCGACTCAGCATGGCAATTGGAGTAAGTCCTGTTGGACTGTCTGAGACACTGCAGGGTAAGGTGTGTGCTGTCCTTATGGTTTATCAGAGGATTTACAGGTAAGAAGAAATCACAAAAAAATGGGGAAAAATGGGTTTTCAACTTCAGCATCAGAGACACTGAAGTTTTGCCACACTATGTGTTATTATCCTCTCATTCTTGCCTAGGTATGAATGAACCATAGGTGCCATTTTTCAGGGGCATTAAGGAAAGATATATTAATCTGAAGTTTGGCTTTCCATGAATTCAAGTCCCTGAGGTCAACCATAGTCTGGAAACATTACATAGAAAAACCCAGAAATAGAATATTCATGACTTTAAATTGCATGCCTTTCTGAGGAACTTGATGAAACATGCCAACCTGCTGTGTTGTGCCCAGAATCATCCCTTTCCCAATGCATCCATGCTGTATATGCCATCTTCCCATTAGTCAGTTAGTGGCCATCTTTGTTTTCAGACTTGCTGTGCTTGTATTCAGGTAATCCTTACTTAATAATGGCCCCAAAGCATGTGAGCACTGGTGCTGGAAATTCAGACATCCAAAGAGAAGTTGTAAAGTGCTTTCTTTAAGTGAAAGGTAAAAGAGGACTCTTTGAGACAGAGAAATAAACTAATTCACATGATTTTCATTATAGCATGTTATAAATTGCTCTACTGTTATTATTTGTTGTTAATCTTTCACCTAGGATGCTCTAGGCCCTGGGTTTAATCTCCAGCACAGTAAAAATTAGTTAATGATTTAATATATGTATAAGAAAAAGTATAGTATAGAGAGTTGGGTGCTATCTGCAGATTTCAGGTATTATTGGGGGCTTTGGAAGGTATCCTGAAAAATAAGAGAAGGAATAGGCAGTGGTCTTGAAGAAGGCTTCATGAAACATCAGCTCTATGGCAACAACAGGCTGTGATGAAAAAACCCCCACAAATTTGGAGTCTCAAAAGGTCTACCTTTAATTAATTAGTCCATCAATTAATTTTTGCTTGGGACACAGGGTTTTACTATGTAACACAGACCAACCTTGAACTCAGAACTGCCTCAGTCTTCCAAGTGCTGGGATCAGAGGTACTGGCTTCGACATCTGACTAGGTCTAGTTTTGTATCTTAGTTTTGCCCCTTGGTGATTGGCCTGGCATTAGATAGATAGATGATAGCTGATGATAGATAGATAGGTAGATAGATAGATAGATAGATAGATAGATAGATAGATAGATAGAGGATGATAGATGATAGGTAGATAGATGATAGATGATTGATAGATAGATAGATAGATGATAGATAGATAGATAGATAGATAGATAGATAGATAGATGATAGACAGATGATAGTTTATCTTAGAATATTGGCCTATGCAACTAGAGTTACTAGGAAATCTAAAATCTATAGTTTAAGCCTAAGAACTATCTTGGCAAAATTTCTTCTTGCTATGGGATATCACTCTTTTGTTTCATGTGTGCCTGCAGCTGGTTAGATGACTCCTGCTGTATTAGGGAGAGCAGTCTGCTTTATTCAGACTTCATTAGTTTACATGTTAGTTCCTAAATATCTTCCATGAAATATCAATTATAATATTTGACCATGTACCTGGATACTCACAGCTCAGTTAAAGTGACAAATAAAATTAACCATCACACTAGATAATGTGGATGCTGTGGGTCTGAGCATTTGTTAGACTGGGAGTAATGATTTGCAGTAGGTGGATATTGGCAATTCCAGTGCTGTGTGATCATTACTACACATTATTGCTCCAACCCCAAAATTGTACTGAGATGTACTTTCACCAAATATAGGCTTTTCTCTTCCTCTATTAGCTGATGAGATTGTAGAAAACAAGAGTTTATACTGTCAGATATTCTGTTGTACCCACTAAATTTTCTTTGAAAATTAATGTAGAGAACAGAAACTGATGTTTTTTGTAAAAGGATACAATCTTCACACTTTGACTTGTTGTTATAAATACTTTGAGAGATACTGAGGTAGACGTTCTCCTGTTCCCTGAAATATGTGATTTCACAGTGAACTTTTATAAGTGAACTTCAGCAGTTGACTGGTTTATTAAAGAAAATGACTAGATGATGAATTCTTTTATAATGTGATTAGTAGCTTCCCCTTTATCTCTATTTCTGTAGAGAGATCTGTTTTCATACATGATAGATTTTCCTTAAATCTAGAGGAAGTCCTTCTAAGTATATTCTAAGTGACAGTTCATTTGACCTATTTTCTTCTATCCCAGAGTTAAAAGGTTTTCGGGAAAAATAACTTCAACACTTCCTTCTGAAGAAAATGCAGATGACTTTGAAGAGAGAACTTTTTCATCAGATGAGTGTGAATATCAAGGAAGCCACTTCTGTGAAAGTCATTCGTCATCATGTGTAAACAGTGCATCTTTGTCACCATTTCACTCAGAAGAGAAGAAAAATTTCATGAGCCACACAGAAGATCCAGTAAGTGAATGTCAAGCAATACAATTTTCCTCAAAGAATTTATTTTCAATAATGAAAAACAACAGGAAGAAAAAGACAAGGTTTCCGGATCATCTTAGTTTTCAAAAAGCTTTTAAATTTACTGCAAGAGATAAAGATCTCAATGTGACACCGTGCCCTTTTGTCCATTTATTTCTTTCTAGTGACCAAATTAAACTTGTGGAAGAAAATGTGAGAAGTAAAATTCTCTCAAGATCCCAAGCTACATTAGTGAGCAAAGCTAATTATCCGTGTCCAATAACTTGGGAGCCATTAACTCAAAGTCAACTTGCTGATGAAATGATTATTCCTGCCCAAGTACAAGGTTCTTTTCCAGAAGATGCTATGCAAGATCAAAGCTTTTATGAAACACAATCTACTAGTCAAACGCAACAATACATTTACAACCAAGAATCAGTCAGCAGCCAGCCAGATTTTATTCAAATTCCAGCTCTGATGAGGACACCATTTTCTAGCAGCATACAAAACTCCTTCCAGGCCCAAGATATGGACAAGAGCCAACATTTCATCAAAATCCCATGTTTTGTTGAGACACAAGATTCAGTCGAAGGCATAGGGTCTGATGAACATTTCAGTGAGACCCAATATTATGCTTATTCTGAAGATTCAAACAACATTAAATATGTAATTGAAGGGCAAAATAGTGTTTTCAAGAATGCTGAATTTCTAACTTCAAGTCTAAGTCCACAACAAAAGAGGATAATGCCAAAGAGCCAGCAGCCACTTGCTTCATCAGAATTAAGCCAGTATTCTATAGACAGCTCAATGTCTCCTTCACCTACCATTAAAGAGCGGAAAAACAGGAGAAAGATATCAAATAGTGAAAAAAAACTCACTCTTAAAGTTTCATCTCTAAAAGCAAAGAAAACATCTAATTCACAGATAATTCTGATGACAGTATGTCATACTTCAAAAGATAAGATTGAATTAGAATGCAAGAAGAAAAAATTACTTCAAAAGAAAAGCATGTCAGCTAGAGCTATGCATCTTATTCCTGTCTCTAAGCTTACTACTCCTTACATTAAAAAATATTTCATAAAAAATATAGCAACAGACTTAATAAAATGTGACTATTTTCTGCAGAAGCAAAACAGGTCACCAGTTACAGAGGAACTCTATTATGGGAGTTCCATGGAGAGGGAAAACTCAGACAGTATTGAAAATGTAGACCAGCCATTCATGGTCAACACTCATGAACTTACAACGCCTTGCTCATTATTTGAAACAAACGAAGAGAGTAAGGAGTCTTGCAAAGACTCGGTTAAGCAGACGTTTGACCTGAATGTTCCAAAGTATGAGATGCTTTCAGAAGAAGTGATATCTGAATCTATGCAGCAATGCTTTTCATCTCCCAAAACAAGCAGAGGAATGAAAATACAGATGGACCCGCAAAATTCAGAGACCGCGGAGGAATTAATAATGAGTACACCAAACACACAAAGGTACTCTTTAAGAGAAAACAAGGAGAATGCAAAAGATTCACTGGAAATTGTTCTGAAGTGTTTGGGTGTCAATTTGTTGATTTCCCTAGGACCTCAAAAGCATGAGAAAAATGAAGAATTAAAAAGCATGAGAGTTCAAGTGAATAGAGGAGGGGAAGAGGAAGAGAGACCATTAATGCCTAATATTGCAGAATATCAAAACCCAAGTGAAAGAGAGATGCTGGAATCCAATAAAAAGGATATGCATCAAGATAGAAGGACATCAGATACATTTCATAATGTCATGCATACTATCATTTCCGAAACACTGGGTACAGAAATACAGAGTGAATTGAAAACCAAGACAGGCAGCACATCAACAGTAATAAACTATAGTCATTTTGCATCAAAGCAAAAGGAATTACTAGATGAGAAGATAACACAGGAAGTAAAGAATACTGCTAAGAACATACTTAAAAAGCCACAAGAATGTGACAGAGAGGAAGAGGAACGAAGTGAAGAGGCAGTCCCACAGCTGCCAGAAGACTTCAACATATATTTGAAGCAAAAGGACAAATGTATCAAATTTGAAATGGAACCTATCAGTTCAGGAAACAGAAAAATTCAATATAAAGAAACAGAAGGACTGATACAGTCTATCTCTACACAAACTGTTTTGGAGGATAGTCTATGCCTCATCCCAGGTTCACTACAAGCTGAGAAAGTGAAGCAAAACAAAGACAAACCTACAGGCGGAGAAAGGGCTGCAGACTCTGTGGATTCACTTTCAATGCCAGAGAACTTGCCATTTGGTGAGAATTTAATGGAAACAGAGTATGGGGTCCCCTTTGGTGAAAAGCCCATGAAAACATTGGATGGTCATATCGCAGAAAAGAAAGAAGGTTTCAAAAGAGACTTACATATAGTTGCCATGGGGCCTTTCAAAATAAAAAATTTGTCAGGAACAAAAAATGTCTTCAATGTCAGGCAGAAAATTACAAAAGTAAGGAAGCCTGTAGTTTCGCCCAAGTTCTGTTTCAGTGCACACAGTACTCCAAAACATATGAAGAAACTGGGAGGCAGCCCTGAGGTTATAATTAAACAAATGCTGCATGATGAAATGTTGGCACATATGCTTCCGAATGTCCATCCTCCGAGGTCTAGTTTGCCAGGTCGTAAAATGCATAGGAAGAAAGCACAAGAAAAATCTAAAGTTGAAAAAGAAAAAAAGACTTTAGCTTCTTTTAATAAAGAAAATGAATCCCCAGATACACTAGCAGTTAAATTGTGCAAAGATGTGAAGGTAGTCAAACAAGTTCTACCAGAAGCAGTAGCTCACAAGTGGAACTTCGAACTGGATGCCCATCCAACGAAGGAGATTAAAACAGAGAAAGAAATATATCAAACAGTGTCATTCACACAAACAGCTGAGGAATCTGTTGACCTACAGAGAATGGATTCCTTGCATGATGCAGTTACAAAGAGGAGCATATTGACACAAACAGGGTCCCAGTGTTCTGCAGCACCGAAGATGGGTCCTCTAATATCAGAGAGATTACCGATGGGAGACCCTCTAAACCAAAGAGAAAGTGATGTTCCGAGTAACAAGAATGAGACAAGGGAAATCCTTTTTGGTTCTACAGAAAAAAGGAATTTATCAAAAGATTTATCAGTGGCTTTCTCAAAGACTTTTAACTTGACTTGCCCTAAGAAGAGAGAGAGAGAATTCACAAATGTGAGGGGGAAGCTACCTTCTTCAAAAACATTCAGAATTGCAGGCAATAGAAAGAAATCAAAATTGAACTCCAAGACCACGTTTAAAAAGATAAATCAAGCTAAAGCATTTTCAACCGAATGCCAAAACACTCTTTGCTCTCGCATCCACAGCAGATTGCACAGAACGTTCTATCACACTCAGTCAACGCAAGAGGAACCAGCAATCAAAACATGTATTGATTTCTTGGCTGAGAGTAAGGTATTCTACAACAGAGAGAGAAAACTTCAGAAAGAGAAACAAAAAGCTTCTGTAGAGGCAGCTCCACAGCACAGCCAAGACCTGTGTTCTGATGCTGATGAAACGGAAGAAATGCACCTTGATGAACCAGGTCCACTGCTCGTCTCTTTAACACAAGAGAAACCTGTGAATGGGCAGGGTGTACAACACCAAAAACATTTTGCACAAACTATGTTTCAGGGCAGCCTCAGAATGGATCCCATAGAAACTGAAAAATCACAGAAAACCAACAAAATGGAAAATGGCGTGGAAGTCCCTGTGGGTCCTAAAATTTTACCTCCAGAAGCAGAGAATGCATCGCTTAATGAATTTATGGACACAGAGACATCAGATGATTTGGAATTTGATGAAAACTCGGAAAGGGAACTAAATTTGTATACTGAAGAAAAAAATTCAGACTTGCCAACAAATTTGCAAGTGACATTCCTACAGTCTTCTGATTCTGTTACAACGTCCTTTGCTTCTGGGCCTAAAAAGCAGAAAACAGCATTACGAACACGGAAGCAGAAACCAGTGAGTCAGAGATGTAGAACCATGAAAGTAGTAAAGCTATTGGCTTTACCAAGTGTTAACTACTGGTACAGGAATAAACTGAACCCCAACAAAGAAATGAAAGGTCTGCAACAAAGCAAAAGCATAACCGATACAGATGTGGCCCCCATTCATTCCAAGGTTCCTGTTCTGTTCAACAAAAGAAAGAGAAATTTAACAGCACAGAGAGATAACTGGAGAGTAGGAGGACATGGCCATATGCAGCTAATGCAAGAGAAAACACCAATTGGAATGAATGTATACTGCCCAGGTTATGTTGATGTGAGCAGTTCCTCTCACACAAAACAGAATGGAGAGAAAGAGGAGGAGGAGGAAGAGAAGGAGAAGGAGGAGGAGGAGGAACCTGAAGCTTCACAGGTCCCAGAGGATAGCTGTAGCCTCATTTTCAGTACATATCAGGAAAAATACAATGAGCTTGTCAAACCAGATGAGAAACTGAACCAACCAGGAAGAACAACAGTTCAGGTACAACCACAAACACCTTTTACAAAAACTGTTTCATGTTTTACTTCATGCCCCATCCCAGATCAATTTCAGTTAGAAAAACTAGAGAACTACTCCAGTTATCCCCCTCTGAAGTCTGAGGGAGCCAAGGATGATGCATTTTCTGAAAGAGAAGATGATAACCTGACTGATGAAAGGTTTCACAAAGAACAGGCTGCTGCTGGTGGGAAGAGGGCAGAGCAGTCATCAGTGCCATCTGATAGTCCAAGCCACCAGGCAAAAATGGAATGTGACTCAACAAAAATAGAAGACACATATCAAGATAAAAAAGACCCAGATAAAACCTACTCTTTGACACCAGATACTGATATTAACAGCAATATAGAAATAGAAAAAGGCAAAGCAAGAGTAAAAACACTCAGTTCTGTACTAATGAAGCAAAAGATACCACTTCATGAAGGATGTGTTACTTCAGAGGACATCAAGGAAACTGATCTTCAAGATGAAAAGGAAGAAGAAAGTGATGATGATGATGATGACGACAAGGATGACAATCTGTTATTCAAATCACTTCCACGGTATAGCCAACATTTTGTATTTTGTTCAAGTCAAAGCAAGGATCTTAACTCTCGTAAATCGAGAAACCGAACTAGGAGCACTCTGTATGTTATAGAAGAAGATGTCCCACAACAGAGTCAGTCTGCAGATCCAACACAGAGAGAAGGGCCAGAGAAAAGCATTCAGACCCAAGGTGTCACATGCACATCAAGCTCAAAACTTCCTCCCCTAAAATCAGAAGAATTACAAATAGAAGAAGTTATGGTTTATAAGACAAAACATGACATCCCAGCTGATGGGATTCATATGGGTGAACTGAACAACTGGGATAATTTGGAATGCGTAGAGCTTAGAAATGATCTACAAGCAACTGTTCCATTGTCTTTGAATCTCTCCACCCCTGATCTACCAGAATCTAAAAGGCAGAGCAAGGTATTTACATGTAAAGTCTTACAAAGTAAAATGAGTCCCACCTGTGGAATTAAGGGAAGAAAAGCATCGATTTCAGAGGTACTTACTATCCCACAGCATGACTGTAGAAAAAATCTACCTCCAACAGCCTCCAAATCACAGAATTTTGAGTTAATATGTCCTTATGCCTTACTTGATAGGATTAGTATGATCATAGCAGAGAAAAATAAGAGACTATTGACTCAAGAATCAGCAGCAACAAAGCTGGAGTCTTCAGATTTCTCCACACTTGCTTCACCTATAGCTAAAGAGAATTTAGAACTCATGAACAAGAGGCTTGAAATAAGTCCCAGCTCTCTAGCTTTAAAAGCAAAGGAGGCAGTGGTCTCTCAGATACTTAACATTGCAGGATGTGGCACACCAAACCATGGAAAGCAATTAAAATGCAGATCAGAAACCAAGACAAAGCAAGGTGAACCTGTGGCAGATCCATCCCTAAATGCCATTCCCTCTCCCATGCTTCTGTCCCTTGGCATAAAAACATGTGACAGAATAAAAGAGATGATACGGAAAATGAAATTTAGTCCTGAGCCGCAAGACCAGTCAGTACATGAAGAGACAGCTTGCTGTACACATTCCATTGATAAGGCTACTACTTCAAATGGTACTGAGGCTGTAAAAGGACAAGATGGTGAAGAAGACCCACTGATTTCTCAACAATTCAATTTCAGTGCTCAGAAGATGTTAGACCCTATTTGTGTGAAATCTGATGTAGAACTGATGAATTCAGCAACTCATCCAGAGTTAAAGAAGCCGCCTCATGAGGGGCCAGCACAGGCCAGTGTGAGCAATACACAAAGCAGCATGGTAGGTCAAAAGGCTCCACTTCCAAAGCACTCAATACCATGTGATAATACTTGGTATGAAAATCCTAGAAAACGTGACTATCCCTTTTCTGAACAAAAAGCATGGAATCAAGATGACTTAAAAACAGCTCTGGAACCTTCAGATGACTGCAACCTTGTGTTATCTCAATCCAAAAGTGAGAGCCACACATTAGAGTTGCTGGGCAAAAGAGATGTGAGACCCAACACAAGGCAACCATCAGCTTCAAAGTTGCTTAACATCACAAGAGGCCATAGAAAGAAAAAGCATCCCAGTAAGTGGCAGATGAGAGATAAGGATCAAGTGGGAATGGCATTACTTGGCACTACTGAAGATCCTATGAGTTGGCCACCCAATTTAATAACTGATAAACTGTCATTTGATGCAGCAGCAGGGGGCACTTTTTCTATCGGGACACCTGAAAAACCTGTGGCTGGTCTTATGATAGAGGAAAAGGCAGAGTCACAAGCAAACATAACCGCAACTTTCTCGGGACCTTCCAATTTTTCCTTATCTGCCTCTAAAAGCCAGGTAAACACAGTAAACTTATCAGAAAATAAAATTACAATGAGCAACAGATTTTTAACTATGAAGAAAAGGAAGTCACCACTTTCACAGATAATCAAAATCAAAGGACACTTTACCATAAAACATAGAAAATTTAAATCAAGATTAAGAACCAAAGTGAAAGAAATATGGCAGAATGAAAACATGAGTGATCTACTTCTAAGTACCATTTACGTCAGATCAGGTACCTCTAACATTATAAGGAAAAATAAGTTCAAAGAGGAGATGTGTACGGGAGGATCAAGGTTTACTCACACACAGCCAACACAGGGGGACTCACCAGTTGAAGGCATAACAAAGTGTGCTGATTCCATTGGCAAGGGTAGTTCTGATTTTCTAAGGGAAGCAGAACTACATGTTGGACAATGTGGGGTAGAGAAGCAAGAACGGCTAATAAAACCTGGTTCATTTTATACAAAACACTTAACAGCAAATGTACATCTCATAAAGAAACCTAGTCCTGGAAAGTCAGAAGGTGTGCTTTTAAGGAAATCTTTTTCCTCCCAAAGTCAGATGCATGAGACTGATCTAGAAATGAATGCAAAATTAGAAAGCAACAACATGCAAATCTATCTCACAGATGGACTCCTAAGCACAGAGAAATCACACAGTTGTGCAGACATCCGTGAGCCAGCAGGTCACCACATCACTAAACAAGGCAAAGAGAAGATTGACCACTCTTCTTTAAAACAAAAATCTCCATGTTTTTTGACAGATATTGTCAATTCTATTGCCAGGGATTTCAATTCTTTAGAAGAGTTTAAAAAACAGATTGGTAGCCAGAGAGCAAGTAACTTTTCAGTTCCCAGAGGTATACCTTCACAAGTAAAGCAACCAGCAGTTTTACAATCACTTAATGATGTAGAGCTTTCTGCTGTAAACATAAATGAGAATAACTTCAAAGCCTCAAAGACAAAAGTAGAGAATGGTGTATTAAATGCTGATTTAAACTCTATCTATACTTCTATGCCTGCTCGGCATATAAAAGCAGAGCCATCCCATGGCATGTGGGATATGCAGGAAAAATCTTCTGAAAGTGGAAATGCCCTAGACAAAACAAAACTTAAAGAGAGAGAAGAGTATGGACAACCAATTTTGTTTACAGTAGCTCCACAGAGTACCCAACCATTTGCATTTGGAGTAGGTCAATCGAGACAGCCTGCTCCTTTCAAATCAGAAACACTTTCAGTTAATCCAGTGGGTTCCAAGAACACTGCTCTTCAGGAAACAGCTATTTATTTAAAAGATCAAGAAGGAAATATAAAAGTTGGAGAAAAGTGTAATCAAGAGTTTGTTCTTTTCTCTAATATGCATACTCTTCAAGTAAAAAGACAGAACAATGAATTTAAAACAAGCTGGGAAACGAATCCAAAGTCTTTTGCCATGCAAAAGAACAAGGAGGAACCCAGTATCTCAGGACCTATCTGCAGTTTTTCTTTTGCCAGTGACCCTACCTATACTGAGATTGTGAGGCAAGAAGATAAGGTGAAAACATCAGATGAGAACAGTACTGTCTGTACCAAACAAGTAAAGCTGAAGGCAAAGAAAATACCGGTTCCTCCACTGAGACGTGGGAATGGAAGTAATGAAGAAGAACTTGGAGATAACGTTCAGCACCAGCACTCATTCCACCTGAGTAAAAATGGAGAAAACATAGTTCCAAAAGCTAATTTTGACTTTGAATGCATTAGGCACCCCACTAAAAAGCTTCCTGAAGTAAAACTGGACAAAGACAAGCTGGAAGGGAGAAAGAACATATTTCCACAGCTAGATCTGGAGAAACCATCAAACAAAAGGCAAATGTCAGGAAATACTGACACAGCCAGCACCTCTGGAACATTGAAAGGAAATCACAAGGAGGAGCATGACCATCAGTGTGCTTTAGAGGACATTCATCAGCAGTATGCCCAACCATTCAGGGTTAGGTCACAGCAAATAAAGGAAGATCACCCTGGAAGATTAGAAGATCTACAAAGAAGGGTGAGCTCTAAGCCGTCTTTACAGAAAGGTGAAGCAAATTACCCTGGGCTTGACATCCCAAGAAGTAGAGGAGGAACAGAAGTCTGTAGTGGCTGGCAAGAAGTCCTGCCACAGAAATCTCCCCTGGAACAAGGGATATGGGAACCAGAAGTGATTCTCAAGAGCAGTCTGGGATCCATTTCTTTTCCCACGAAGGAACTGCCTCATTTAAAAACAATCAAAGAATTCACAACCAAACAAGACAAACCATCAAGTCCACAGAGAACAAAAGGATTGAAAGTGACAAACAGCCTATTGGATTCAAAAGAAACGTCACCTACTCCCAGGTTGCTGATGCTACAGGAGCCAAATCTTCTTGCAGAATCTCATCTGGGATCCATTTCCTCTTGTGTACCACATCAACTTCATAGTGAAAACCCAAAGGAAGATATAAAAATAAAAGACAAACTCTTAATGGAAGCAGTCCAACAGGTAAAGAAAATATCAGATGTAGCATATATTTCAGATATGGCTCACATGCCACAAAGTATAGAAAAACTACTCTTATTGATTAAAGAACAGGAGAAAAGGAAGAAAAAAGTTAGAAAGGTTAAAAATTTTGAAATATTAGTAGACGTAAAAACAACAGCGAATCCCAATCTAGTTTCAAATTATTCACTATGTGGAGCACAATGTATCAGCACAATAGAGAACAGCGGTATCGTCGAGCAAAGAAATGGAATAGAACAGAACAGAAATATGGACACATTGTGGAGACAGCAAAGGTTGTGTGTACAAGGGATCAGTCGAGATTATGTTTATGCAGATAAGCTTGCTTCTCCTAATGTCATAAGCCACAAGAATAAAGGAAGAACAACTTCTGTGAAAAGTGTCCTGTATCCCAAAAGGATAAATATGAAGGTGAGGAAGACTACTGCTTTCCAGAGGCTTAATATTACAGGATGTGGAACCCACAGCTACAGAAAGGAACTCAGACAGAGCATTCAAAAGCAGGAGTTACCTCAAAGAAAAAATGTGGCAAACTTAGTCTGGAAGGGTATTTGTGGTTCTGGCTATATTGCATCTCAAATTAAAAAACTTACAGAATTAAAGGTGGGAAAAGATGAACCACAAGAGCAAATGCATAGTCTTCCTCAGCTAAAACGTAAGAAATCACTGAATGAAACTAAAATGTTTTTGCAGCCTGTTGATAGGTATGCAGTACCCAGCACTATCAGAAGACCAGCACAATGTATCATCAAGCCAAAGGAACGCGAAGTGGTTTTACTAAATATTCTTCCACAGAGTAGAGATCAGTTAATTATTGACCAACAAGTGGAAGAGCCTAGACACAGTGATTTGAATGCCAGTTTGGAAAAGGAAACAGACTGTATCGTGTTTCCAGAGAATGGAGAAACCTCTAATGCCCCAAGACCCAAAGAATTCCTCACTGCACAAAGAGTACAGCAAGACCTTGTAGATTCTGTTTCAGTTCCACTGGGAAGCGAAGTATCGAAGGAAATGAATATTTCATCAAGTTCAAAAGGGCAGAATATATTTCTCATAGAGATGGATACATTTCAGCAAAAGACTCGTAAGGTGCAAGAATTGCCAAAACAAGAAGGCACTGCTAAGGCAAACTCGGGGTTGGTCCCCTGCCCTGTTAGGGAGTCCTTTCATTTGGAAAATACTGGAGAGATGGCTAAGGAAGGAGATGTATATATTATCAGAAAAAATATTTCACATATATTAGGAAGAGAAAGACTAAAAGAAACTGATACTGTACTAGATTCCAAAGCACAGACGTTTCTTTGTACAAATCTGGAGGGTATTTACAAAATGGGTGGAGGTCAGAGTGGACTTAAAAAACCAGGTCACAGACCCAGAGTAATTCTGGATTCTGTACCTTGCCACAAGAGGACTCCTCTCCATCTAATACAGACCCTGAATAACAAAGAAAGGGATAGCACTTCTCTAAGCGTCAGAGATGCCAGAAGAAAAGATCAATCAGCAGTAGCTGACACTTCATTACAGTTAAGTAGAGAGAAAGTGGAGTTTTCTGAAAAACTGCGGGCAAAACAATTGAACATATTTAACCAGAACAAAGAAAAAATTCTGGAATTTGTTTCATCCTGTATATTGTACCAACATCAAACTGATAACACAAAGAACCAAATCTTTGCAAAAGCAACATCAAATTCAAAAGTTTTGAACCCAGTGAAAGAGAAAGCATCAAAAGACATTGCTCGGGGCAATGAAAATAATCTAGATGTAGTTCGGAATGAATCCTGGGATTCCGTTCTTCCTTCATCTGACATGGAATGGGGTTCTAAAATAACAGGGGGCTGTTTAAAAGAAATAACAAGATTCTGCCCTCAATCATCAACACTGCAGGAGTTGTCAGGTGCAACTAATGATATTTTAAGCAGTAATAAAGTAAAACCTATGCCACCAAAAGATCAATTGCATACAGCTTCTGAGAACATGATGCATTTCCAAAGACCCTCCTTGAGGGAGGAACAATCTTCAGTGCCACAGGAATTACTGTTTAATGTTGAAGAAAAGGATAAAAAGATGCAAGAAGATAAACAAGTTAAGGAAAAAAGCAAATCTTCCATATCTCCCCTGCCTTACTCTAAAGTGGACACCAGACTATATGGAGAGGATGCTGTGCAAATAAGGACAGGATCTGCTAGTCTACAGTCAAAGCTCCAGGAACCATCAGGACATGGGAGGGAAATCACTTATAAAAGGTTTATTTGTGAATCTATCTTGAACAGTATAAAACTTTTCATAGAACATGCAATCCAGAAAGAAGAGAATATAAAAACAGAAAAAATCATACCTCCGAAAGAAAAAATACCACCACTTTCACAGAAAATGGAGTTAGACATCAAAGATCAAGAGAAAGAACTACAAAAAATGAAAGATGAATCATATGTAGCTGTGACAAATCCCAGCACTTGCTTAAAATCAAATACAAGGATAGAAAAGGCAGAAGATACAACCAAAGTAGTAATATATTCCCTCCCAGAACTCCCACACCAGAAGTCATCAGACACATTGATAAAAGCAAGTAAAGAACGGATGGAGAGTAATATCCCAAGCAGTACACAAAAAGGAAAAGATCACATGCCACAGAAAACAGAGGATGAAGCAAAAGCGTTTGCTGAGAAAGTCATAGTGCACACAAAGGATAAAGACTGCAAAGGAAAAATGGATAGAAAAGGCAAAGAACAGAAGTGTGATTGTGATGGCAAAGACCAAGGGAAAGCAGATCCAAACTGTACAAAGCCAGGGAAATGCCAACGAGACAATAAAGAGCAAGGGAGAGTGGACCCAGAAAGCCAAATGCCATGGGATGCAGACACAGGAAGTACAGGACAAGGGGAAGCAGAAGGAGGCTGTCAAGAACAGGAGATAGTGGGTCCAGAAGGTAAAGGGCAACAGAAATGGAATCGCACACGTGAAAATCAAGGGAGAGGAAGTAAAAGTGAAGAGAAAGTCATTCCCTGTGACTCTCTTCCTTCTAAGCCTTCTCATCATGAGTTGGATACAATAATAGAAGAAAACAATATAGCAGTTATAAAATATGCTACTTCACAACTACAGCATCAGAAATTGTTTGGTGCAGGGAAGACGAAATGTATAAATTCAACTGAGAACAGTAATAAATCAAGCGATATAAAAACCGTGAAACAACGTGAGCCACAGATGTGGCTAGGTAGAAGAAAAATTGTGAATACAAAAGATGTAATGTGTCCCAAAGACACAAGTTGCAATATAGATAAAGTATTAGTCTCACATGTACCAGCTATCACTGGACATTGTGGCCCACACACTACAGAAAAACAGACAAATGTAAATGAAAACTTGGGATGTGTACAAGAAAAAAAATGTGAGCTAGGTGAGGGTCCAATCTTAACATCTTTCTCTCACAGTAAATTAGACAAGAGAATAGAAGTCAAAGAAGAAACTTTGGGAGTAACAGGACCCTTTTCTTCACATTCATGGAACATGGAAATTTCCAACACAGAGAAATTAAATGATACGGTATCTCCTTTGAATGATACTGTACTTGATTCAAAAAGATCAAGATACATATCACATAAGGAAGAGGACAGAGCAAATACTTTTGAGACAAACACAGTGCATCCCAAGACCACAGCAGTGAAGAGGGAGAAAGCATCCCTTTTAGGTATATTCGAAACAAGAAAATGTCAAGTGAACGTGAATAAGCAAAGTAAAAAGAAACCAAGAGATAGTAAGGACAGAGTCATGCCTCTGAGCAAAACTCATCACTTTGTCATGTCTTTGGATGTCTCTAAATTAGAAACAAAAGAAGATGTTGAATCAGAAATAATACAAAACCACATAGTAGTCCCTGAGCCACAAGAATCACTGCCTACGGGGCAAGTAGCATGTATAGACACAGACACAGAAGATACAGAAGACAGATTAACTTTAAAAGCAAAAATATCCCCATGCATACATCTGGATGACAGAAAGACACTAAAACAGGTACAGGAAGAGAAAAGTGAACCAGGAATGGTTCTAAAGGGAACTACTCCACGGCCTTCTGTGTGTTTCCTCAAGTCAGACACTAGAGTGAATGAAAAAGAAGGTATACTAGGTGGAACACAATTCTCTTTTCCACCACCAAAGATGCAGGATACATCAGAGTCAGAAGAAAAGGTATACACTGAGTTATTCGATTATTGTATGTTAGAGTCATCCGATGGTTGGGTGTTAATCAGCAGGAAAGAACTCACACAGTCTTCAACACAAGAAGAAGAAAATAATAGACTCAAAAAATATGTGAAAGACAAAAAGATCTCCAAATCAATGAATCCAAAGGTGGAGAAACTACTACTACCACATATACTCAGTACCAAAGAGTCGCAGAGGAAAACCAAAGGACAAAAGCTTGTGGATCTGAGAAATGTAACTGTAGAATTGTTCACCTCATCCAACAGATCATCAGATGCAGAAGTAACTGGCAGAGAACTTTCCAGTGATGCAAAAGAATCAAATGAACACATATCACAGAAAGAAAAGGAAGATAAAGAAAAACTTGTGGGTATAAATAGTGTAACGGATTCCAAGGATATCTTGAAGACAAAGAAATCACCTATCTTACATACACAAAACGTAAGTGACGTTCAGAGGAAGACTAGAGAGCAAGAGGAAAATGTTGAGGAAGATAAAAACAAGTCAAGTGTAATGCTGACTCAGGCATCTAAGACTGTGTCTTCTCAACCTTTCCTTACTGTGAATTCTATAACCAAGGAAGAAAGCACATTCACCTTAACAAGATCCTCTGTCGTCACAGAAAATTTCCAGAAATTATCAGGTGCTGAAGGAGGTACATATATACTGCCAATTACTGATGATCTCTTAATCAGTCTACAAAATGGAAAGCAACTTATATCAGCCAAACAGGAAGAGAGTAGAGAAGAAATAATAAAGCTCATGACAGCCCCCAAACATGAAGAAATAGAGCTGCAAGAACTTAAAGATGAATCAGGTTTGGTGTCTTCTCCTTCATTACCATATGCGCCTCATCCCAAATTGGATGAGAAAACAGAATCAGATGGCACAAAGCTAAGACTTACAAACTCTGCTTTGCAGAGACTATCAGGCGATGAGGAAACAGTACCGACAGAGCCAATGATTGGTGATGTCATGAAAGATGTTTCAAAACAACGTATGCCTCAGAAAGAAGAGACAGACAGAAAAGAAATAATAGACAGGAGAGGCACAGATCTAACTCTGAAGTCACTGAAATCAACCCCATCCCAGAAGCTCTGCAGATCACAGCTACATATCTGTATTAACAGGTGTAAATCAAACGAACATGAGGACAGTCAAGGTGAACGAGTTTTAAGAAAAATTTATACTTCCACACTTTCTTTAAGCAGTGTTAACCTGGATAAATGTATGCAGGTAAATGAAGAAAAGCCTGAGAGTCAACCATCTTCTCCACGGCCACATATGGTCCCAGCACTGCCAGGTGCAGAGAAGATGGCAAACACAAAGGCAGTGGCTAATGGTGTCAGAAGGGGAAAACAGTGGACACCGCAGATTGAAAAAAAAGTGGACCTGACAGTTGGGGTGCCCTGTAAAAGGGCAAAAATCTCACCAATTTCACATCATCTTGATACAAAGGAATCTGTCCTGAATGTGAAGGTGCTGGAGAAAAAAGAGCAAAATGGTAAAGGTGAACCAAATACGCTTACAAAAATGACTTTCCTGTCCATACCACCAGCTCCTGTCTTTTCTACAGAGTCACAGGACAAAGCCCAGAAAAACATAGCAAAGTTTACGGGATCCTCTTATTCACAGAAAAATCTCCAGGAATTATCAGATGCCCAGGAAAGAGCAAATAGAGAGTCGTTTGAAGGTGTCAGTAAAAGTATTAAAGGAACAGAATACTATTTGCCCCAGAGAGAGGCCAGGCCACAAATGTTAGACTCCATGATCAGCTCTCAGCAAGAAAGAGAGTTAAGTCCACAAGATGCTACAACTGATTTCACAAGATTAGGTACCATAAGAAAGGAAAAAATTCCAGACATGCCCTTCGAAGGACAAAAGGATCAGCCAGAAAATTTTGAAAAAGAACCTTTAACTGAAATTGAGAATCAGAAGGAAAAAAGTAAACAAGAAACCTCCTCAAAACTATTTGTAGACTCTCTGGGTTCAGGCAAATTTGATAAGCCAAAGAAAAATATACAAAGCAATGCTTCCATAAGCAAAATGTCTTGCCCCAGCGTGTTAGCATTAAGGAAGAGATTGCTGAAAGAAATAAGCAGCACCAAACTCAGTATGTCTCAAAATAAAGAAAAGCAAAATGTTACTGTGAAAATGCAAGTCACGACACAGCCCCAAAGTGGACCCTGGACAGAGCCAGACTCCTTCCCTTCTCTTAAGTTTCCAGTTCACAATAAAAATCAGGGGGTACCTTTGCAAGAAGATGTGGGCAAGAAAACTACAGTGAGCACCAGCCAAGGACCAGTGGTATATATGAATATTATAGAGTTTAATGCTACAAGAAGAAAAGATTCATCATGGCTTGTTCAAAAACAAGACAAATGTGATCTAGAATCATCTCAGAAGTTCCATAGCCTACTAAAATCTAGACACATGGAGGCAAAAGATGGTGACACAAGCCCTGATGTAAATCTGAAACAGAAAAAACGAGAAATGGACAACAGTACTGTGAGTCAGGAAGACGGGAAGTTAAATACAAGTACAAGCAGAGCTGCATATCTGGAAAAGCACAAAAGAGAAATACAGAACTGCACTGTCAACTTGGACAAGAAACTACAAACGGGGACCAGCAGTTCCCCAACAGCAGAACCTCAGATCAAGACTCAGTCAACCATTTACATGGAGAACTACTCAGTCCAGCAAAAGCTCAAAAAGGAAGAAGAGCTGTCTCACGCAAAACAAAAATTGCTTCAAATAATTGTTCCGGATTCATTTTATGTCTATATTCCTCTCTCTCGTAAAATCCAGAAAAGACGATTCACAACAACAAATCTGAAAAGAGAATTGAAAGCCAAATATTTAACCATGAGAATTCCAAAGTACCCAATTTCAAGGATTCTTGGTATCCCAGGACGTAGTAGTCCAAGAAATAGAAGGAAGTTAGAATCTGCCTTCAACACACCCAAAAACATGGTTTCAGGTAGGAAAGATGCCCCAACAGCAGTAAACAGAAGTCTGTGTGTTTCCATGATGACTCCATCTCATGCCGAAGAAATAGTAGCATTTAAAACAAATCTAAGAAGAGTAAAGGAAAGCTATCTGTCCCAGGAGAAATCGCTAGATGCTAGTGAAACTAAGGATATGTTCAATGTGAAGGAACTGAATTTTACAATCTCAGGTCTGCACAATTCCCAGTTCTTTGCAGTGAATGATCAGCAAGTACAGAGGCTTCCTCATGTCAGATCAGAGGCAACCCTTGGAAGTAAAGTAAGTGAAAAGAACTTAAATCCACAAACAAGAGAATGGATTGTTCCAGAGAGTAATGATTTAAAGATCATGAAAAACCCTGACATGTATACAGTTAAGCAAGAACAGATATCAAAATTCAATCACACACCTTTAGAGTGCCCACTTACACTTGAAGATGCAAAGCATATTGCGGAAACTCATATGAGAAGAACTGTGAGTATGAATGTTCCCTCTCCGCTGGTAGAGCCAGTATTTGGGCTCCAACTCCTTGATGCTAGGGAAGGTCCCCTGCTTTTCAAGCAACAAGAAGCTGCTCCAGGAACTGTGTCCATGCCACCTCAAGTTAGATGTAATGAAAACAAAACACTTGTAGAACGTTTGTTTCCCATTTACGAAACACTTAAAAATGTCTTCGAAGCTCCTGTTGAAAATAAGATCCAAGACAAAGTTCCTTCTTACAAAATGGAAGAAGCACAAGCCTATAAGCCAGATGACTTGAAGTCCTCACCTTTTCCAGAGAGTTCAGACCCACCATCAAAAACACATGCCATATTGCTGCGCAAGCCTCTTTTAAAACATATGACCCCGGAATCAAGGAATAAGCTCACTATGCATTTAGATTCAAAAGCAACTGAAATAAATCTTGATCAGATACCAGAGATGGTAAACATATTCTTACAGAAGCTTAACTCTTACCCTAAAGGGCCTGTTTCAGAAGATAACAGTTGGAGGCTTTCCTCAAGACATAAAAAAAATAATTTTATGTCTCCAGAAGTTGATACTATAGAACCCAACTTAAAACACGATTACCAAAGAGATTTTCCCCTTCCTAGATGTCTGAAAATACCCACCACTAATGTTTCATGTAGCAGCAAAGAAGTTGCGACAGAACCAAAGGGTATTAAAAAGCAAGAAGGTATAACATTACTAGCAACTTCCACTGACGGTCTACCATCAACTCATGTTCTCCAAACCTTCTCAGAGAAGGAAAAAGAGCACCTTCTCATGCACCTTTCCACAAAAACCCTGGAGATGCAAACTGCAATCTTCCCCAGAATAGTGGCAGAATCTCACGTAAAGGCCAGTGCCCAGGATCAGTCAAAACCTTTATTTAAGTGTATCCATTCTGCCACAAAAAGACCAGTTCGAGCAAACAGAATCTTAGTACTTTTTGATAAAAAATCATTTTGTGAAATTGATCATGATTTAGAACGCAAATACCTCCACTCTATATCTAAGTCTCCTGTTGCTACGTTCCCTAAGCCAAATATACTCCCCAACCATAGTCCTAAGTTAAGCGTGCATTCAGGATATAAGAAAGTAGATGACAGTGGAAAAAATCACACTCGTTCTTTTGATAAAGGACCTCTACAACATGTTGCTTGCAAAAATGAAAACATATTACTCCCAAAAAAATTCCAGGAGCCAACTCTTGTGTCTGCCTTTGATCCTGGTCTACGAGGCATGGATGAGAAAGATAGCAGAGTTCTTTCAGATTTAAAATCCCATGTGACACCAGAAAAATATAGAAAGTGTCATGTATGGTTTCAGGAAACAAATTCATACAAGTGTTTTGCTTCAAGGACTCAGCAAAGTGCTACTGATTTAGCTGATTCACATTCATCTTGGATTTCTGATGAGTGGACTGATATTCCCTTAAATACCGAGAGTTCAGCTAACTTGGAGGAGCATCTAGCTCCAGAAAAAAGTGACAGTGAGGAATGTGTGTTCATAGAAACTAACTTTTACTTAACTCAGGAGTCACAAAATTTCAGCATATCCCCAGGCATTCCTCTGGCAAATCTCAAAGTAGAAGAAACAAGTTGTTTGAAACCATTTTACAGTAAAGATCCAAGTACCCAACATACTAGCATCCATAGAAAACAAACCTTCCCTGTGACATCACCTTCCTGTGAATCTCACAAAAGGAGAAAATACAGACCATTCTCCAAAACACGGTTTCTGGATTGGTTGTCTCACAGTTCATCCAACACTGTAGAAATTCAGTCGACTTCATCTTCCACATCATTCAGAGAAGGGAAGCGTTCATGGACCACATGGAGCAAAACAAGCTGCTCTTTAACTTCCACAACAACTGAATCGATTATTATATTGCGTCCTGCAAAAGACCATGGTACATCTCCCATGCACCCACACATCAAAGAAAGAAGGAAGGCTAAATCTGACTCCCACAGAAAGTATAATGTTCACTGGGACTCAGAGTATGGTCATACTGACACTAAAGAGAAACGTGTAAGGAAGAAGAGCGTGCATCATTATGAATCAAAAAGATCAAGTTATCCCCAAAGTGATCATAGGCCGGCCTCAGAAGTTCCTCAGGAGAATATCAACTTCCATTCAGAAAGAAGAGATTACAAGCCATTTTTTTATGCCTGTGTACCAGCAGACCCAGAGAACATTGTCCTCAAAACCATTCGCTGGGTTGTTCCACCCCAAATCTTACAGAAAAGAAACTTCCAAGCTCCTCGGGTGGCACATATTTCAAATTCTTGGAATCTGTGGAATTCATCCAAAAAGTTTTGGGGGTCACTTACAGTCCATCAAGGTTGACATTAACCACAGGTAGATTCCTCTGAATTGGAACGCTGGTTGCTATTGTGATATTCTATGAAAATAAATTAACAGAATGTCAAGTTGTTGCCTCTTGGTGTGTTTACTCAGTGTGTACACTTGGTGTCTTGATCGATTTGTAGTCGTTGCAGGACACCAAGAGGAAAAAACAGATGGCTGGGTTCCATCCTACCATGCAAGAGCTCTTCTTTCCACTGACACTGCTTCCTCATAACAGAAGAGATCTACAGACCCAGGTGGAGCCCTTGTTCCACCCTCCCCCCATGGCTGGGGGTGAGGAGGAGGAACTGTATGTAGCACACTGACCAGTGAGAGGATCTAGCTGGAGATGGACAGAAGGAGCACAGAGGGAGAGAGGGAGTGGTTCAGATAGTGAGGATTTCACAGTGTCAACACAAAATCTGGGCTGGAGAGATGGCTTGGTGGTTAAGGGCACTGGCTGCTCTTGAAGAGGACCTGGGCTTGGTTCCCAATAGCTGATCATAACTCCATTTCCAGGGAACCCAATGCCCTCTTCTGGCCTCCATGGGCATTGCAGAACACAGATGTCCTTATATACATGCAGGCAAAAACCACATGCACATAAAATACAATTTCCCTTAAAAAATACAGACAATAACACAAAAGAACCCCAAACCAACACAAGATCCAGAGCAAGTACAGAGTTAAATCCATTGAGTTTGACAGCTAGACCGAATACCTGAATACCTCATAGAGACTCTGAACACTCAGGCACATAGACTAATGCCCATTGACCAGATTCTAAGCCATCAGCCTTTGGTTGAAACTGCCTTATCCATATCCCATCAACTTCTCCATTAGAATTTTGGAACAAATCCTAGATACATCATTTGGTCCATAAGTATTTTTATTAATGTGCCTCCATAAGAGCTTTAAAAACAGCAGTAATGCCATTAGTGCATCTAAAAATAACAGCAATTTTTTCCTTAAAATATAAATAGATTACAGTGGTACCACATTTAAAATAAATGTGATTCAAAAGGTTGCCTGTCACTTCGGGTAATGCAAATTAGTGTTGTTAGAATGAGTTTAATTTCTAATCATAAACCATAAGGAGGAACTGAGTGACTAGTTCTTACCTGGTGAAGAAGTATCACAAAGAAATTGTCAAAATAGTATAAAAATTGAAAACCAAAATTAGATATGAAAGACTATATTTTATTCAGAAACATCACACACTTCAATTCTTGTAAAGCTGATTGAACAAAAAGTCTAGAAAAGTAACAGTTACCTAAAAATATGCTTGATACACTTTTTTATAGTTTTTGACAATTTGATCACTTGTTCATAAGACAATTTTAGTAGTTTTAAAATAAAGATCAAAAGTTGTTGATGAAAAATTATTTGCTGTTGACAATTTAGAAAATTCTGGCACTTTTGCCAACTCTGAGGATTTCACACATCATTTCATCTAGAACAGCAGACTTCCTCAGAATTCAGATGTGATAAGGCACAAGCCAATAAATTAGAACGCATAAAACTTCACCCACAGATACCTTTGCTGTTTGTGTACTGGGGTAGGATTGTACCCCACAATATAAAATTCTGTGCTGGTTAGTTTTAATTATCGATGATATAAATCTGGAACACCTGAGAAGAGAGTCTCAGTGAGGAATTGTACAGATCAGGCTGGCCTGTGGGCCTGTCTGTGAGGGATTGTCTGGATTACATTGCATTGATAAGACTAGTCTAAAAGTGAGCCTCACTGGGACCTGGGAGCCAGGACCCGGATTAAATGAAAAGGAGAGAGGGAGCTGAGCAAGCATGCATGCATTCATTCCTTTCTCCTCTTGACTGTGAATGTGATGTGGCCAGTTCTCCCAAGTTCCCGCTGCCTTGACTTCCCAGCAATAATGGACTCTAGACTGGAATTCTGAGCCAAATAAGTTGCTTTTTTCAGGGTTTTTTTTTTTTTTCAAATCACAGTATAGTCTGAATATTTTCCTGTTAGAAGATTACATCCTTTCGGTTTTCTCAGGGTATGACTTACACACCTAGTGAATGAAGACTCCTCCACAACCCTCTTTCCTCTACTGTACCTTTGTCCTTATTTCTCCTCCACGACACACATTCCTCCAGTTCCAGGCACTGTAGAAGGCTTTCACATTGTGTTATAACCTCTGGCCTTGACGCTGGTGTTTCCACCAGGATGTGTTCACAGTGAGAAGACGGATTCCCAGATGCTATTTCTACACCAGGATAACTGACAGAGCTGCACAGAAAAGTGAAGGACATCATACACGTATACAGCTCAATAACACCAGACTAAATGCATCCTAACTCAGCCTGTTCTGAGCACAATTCCAGAAATGTTGCAGCCTCGGCAGTCTCACTGAAGATGTGAAGGATGGATCAAAGGGAAAGAAAGAAGACTTTTAAATACAGTGAAAATATCGTGTGCTTACAAATCTTCAGGACCTGGGGCTGGAGAGATGGCTCAGCGGTTAAGAACACTGGTTGTTCTTGCAGAAGACCCGGGTTTGAGTCCCAGCACCCACATGGCGGCTAATAACTGTCCGTAACTCCAGTCCCAGAGGATCTGACAACCTCTTCTGACCACCACAGGCATTGCACGACACGGGTGCACTTACCTACATGCAGGCAATATACGTATACACATAGAATAAAAATAAAATTTTTTTAATTAAAAAAAAAACAAATCTGAGGATAGTGGTTGGTCTCTTTTGAGGTGGTGGGGCGTGCACAATAAAAAAAAAAAACAAATCTTCAGGATCCTAAAGCTCAAATTTCTTTAGCATTTATAATATGTCTATTTATGTAAATCAAACAGCATTGACATCAATTTCCATATCTTAGCAACGAATATTTATTCAATGTCTACTATATACTAGACTTCATCATGGGCACTTAATAAAATATGAACTTAATAAAAATGAACAAGCACCATCTTGAATTAAGAAACCCATAATGTCAGATTGTAGTAAGGAATCCATCTCTTGAAAAGCTCTTACACATACACACACACACACAGACACACACACACACACACACACACACACACAAGCACGCATGCACATACAAACTGTTCCTTCCCTGATGAACACCATCTACCCAGTCCTCTTAAACTTCTAATAACAAACCAAAGTAAGATTTCGCCATAGGGAAGATTCCACCATGGTGAACTAATGAGCTTACTGGGATTGCTTACAAAGCATGAGTGAGTTGCTGACAGGATCAGGGGTTGGCCCCAAAGCATCCTCACAGGAAAATCTTCACCTGGCATGGATGATTGCTGCCTCATAGCTGCATAAACGGCGCATCCCTTCCAAGTCTTCCAAAGCCTATGTTCTCTAGCCCATCCCACAGACCCTGAGGCCAGGAAATAAGGGCAGAATTGCATACAGATGGCTGGGAGGAGGAGGCAAAGTCAACAGTCCATAGGCCTGAAGGGACCCTTGCAAGTAGCCTCAGCTGATCTCATCAAGATGGTGGCAGTTTGGTTGGGAGTGCCCAGTGGAGCTACTGATGCGTAAATGTTAAGGTAATTAGAGAACTTGGGCGTTGGAGGTTGACCTGGAAAGAGTAATTTTTCAGCACATATCTTCTTGCAAGACTTAGTGGTAGCTGGGTTCTGATGTCAGTGAAGAATGGCAGGAGCAGCAGCAGCAGCAGCAGCAGCAGCAGCAGCAGCAATAGAATATATGTACTCACCAGCAAGAGGCTATGGTGGGCAGGCAAAGTGGCACTGCTTTTACATTGGACCTCTTTATAAATGAGCAGCAGTTTGAAGCTGCCACGCACTCTAGGGGAAGGTTTTCTGCCCTCAGTTAACCCTTCCTGGAAATAACCTCTTAACCATCACGTGTCTTAACCTCTTAGTAGTTTGAAAAAAAAATGATATAGACAAATAAAATTTAAATATTTTACATTTTAATCTTAGCTGCAATTGGTTACTGGGGTGTGTATGCCTATTGGCTACTACACAATGCCTTTCACTTTGGAATAAGATCAGAAATGCAGCACTGATTCTTTTACAGTATTTACTTTAATTTCAGCAATAGCTAAAAACAGCTTAACAAGGAAAGTAATGTGGCAGCGTCTAATTACAAAAGGAAACGACCTCGAAGTAGCAGTTCATACTGTGTCCAGCAGATGGCGCTGTGTTTCTCTCACAATTTAAAATTGCTCTCTATTGACATCCAGCAAACATGCTTATAACTTCCACCTTCCATTTGCTTCGGAGCTGTGTTTTCTGTAGTTTATTTGAGCAAATCTTCCAGAACAACGGGAAAAATGAGGGGATGTATAAATACAACAAAAGGAAATTTAAAAGGAATGAGAAACTAAAGCTACATTCACTATTCTCTGTCCCTAGAATACCCTACAGACAGCTTCCTTAACTAGAATCAATAAAACTCTGGCTGGTCTTAGCACAGTCTGTTCATTGCCCAGCTCTCCTAAACATCTCTGACCCTCACTTGCCTCTTCAAACTTTTCACACTTTACAGGAAAGTGATCTGACTTTATTTCACTGAGAAAAGGAGACTTCACAGACCCTTCCCCACATCACCTATACATTTGCCTCTGTATTAGTCCCACCAGGCTGCAATAACAGAATATCTTAGACTTGGTTATTTGTAAGGAAGAAAAATTCATGTCCTATAGTTTTAGAGGCTATGGAATCAAGGTCAAGGCTCCTATTTACTGTCTGGCGGCTGCCTATTCTTCATATGGAGTGCTTTCTTACTATTTCTCCATGGATCAAAAGACAAAAGGGGCCAACAAGCTCCCTCAATCCCTTTATCCCATCCATGAGCACTCCACTCACCACCTGAATCCCCTTACAATTCCACCTATAGGGGCTGGAGAGATGGCTCAGTGATTAAGAGCACTGGCTACTTTCACAGATGACTCAGTTTCATTCCCAGCACACACATGCTGGCTAACAACCATCTGTAACTCCAATTCTGGTGGATCTGATGCCCTCTTTGGGCCTC